CTGCGGCTGCTCCCCCTCCTCCGCCACCTCCGCCGCCCCCTCCCGCAGCGCGCCCAACTCCCGCTCCTCCCTCGCGTCCCAGTCCCGCGCTCCCTTCTCGCGCAGTCCCAACTCCTCCTCCCGCCCCGCCAACACCATCGCGCGCAGTCCCCCCTCCACCGCCCGGTCGTCCCTCGCCCGCCGCCGCAAGTTCGAATTCGAGGCCCCCGCCTCCTGCGCCGCCATCGAGGAAACCGCCTCCTTCCGCGCCTCCTTCGCGTCCTGTTCCTGCGCCCGCACCGCCCGTCGCTCCCTCTCGCCCAAGCCCCGCCCTTCCAGCCCGCTCTGTACCCCCTCCTCCACCTCCTCCTTCTTCGGCTCCAGCGCGGGCGGTCCCCCCTCCGCCGCCTAGTCGGCCACCCCCCGCCACAGCCGCCGCCCCGTCAAGCGCTCCTTCAAGGCCAAGCGCTCCTCCCCCTCCCCCACCGCCTCTTGCGGCCCCGCCCTCACGTCCGTCTTCACAAGCGCCCGCTGCGCCTCCCCCGCCTCCTCCTGCCTCGGCCCCAAACGGTCCAGGTCGCGCTCCCCCTCCTCCTCCTCCGCCCGCCGCTCCAGGGGGACATAGCAGAACCACCAGCTCTGCCTCTTTCGCCGCGCCACCTTCACGAGCCCCGCCGCCTCCTACGCCTGCCACAAGCGCAGCGGGTGGAGGAATGAACGGCACCTCCTCGTCCTCATCCGGCGCCGGCCTAAGTCGAAGTACGTCCCTCCTCCCCTCCTCCCTCCTCCCTCCCTTTTCCCCTCCCAAACTAACTCTACTCCCAATCGCGCAGTCCCCTCCCCACCCCCGACTCTAGCCCTCCCAAACGCCCCAACTCGAACGTTCCCACCCTCCGAACAGTTCCCACCGCCTAGGCCGTTCGATGCGGCGGGACGGGCGGGGAGGAAGTTGGCGAGTTGGGATTACAGGAGTCATTTACTTGGGTGATCGACCTGCGAAGGTGGAGAGGGGTTAGAGAGGAGGACGGAGGAGAAGGGGGGTTAGGGAGGTTTGGAACGGTGATGCTGGTTCGAAAGAAAGCGGTTAGAGGGCTGAGGTGTGGCTTCATGTGCGTTGCAGAGAGAGGCCTGTGCGGGCTTGCGGCTTGAGCGACGGGGTTTGAGGAGGAGCAGGAAGACAAGAGTTCGCTCATTCCATCCGCCTCCTCTCCGTCGTCTGCCGAACTCTCGCTTCGTCACTCAACAACGCGAACCGGCGCCTAATATGCTTCGGGAATACCTCACGCGCTTCGTGCTCCGAGCTTCATGGCGTTTTGGGAGGGAGAAGAACAGCGGAACGAGGAGGAGAAGAGAGGTGTTGGCCGCGGAAGGGTCGAACGACGTCGCAACCGTAGTGTGGGAGCTCGAGACGATGTCGTGAAGCGCAGGAAGGCGAAGCGGACGATCCGTGGTTGAGATCGTCGTGAGGAAGGGAGCAAGACGCTTCTCGTCGAAGAACGTCTCACTGGTCCCTCCGGTTCGAGGTGTCGCTTTCTCTGCACTCTTAGACGTTGAAACAGACGCTTTGAGGATGAAAGGGGCGTTGGCCTGGCGCAACTCTGCGAAGAAGGTGAAGCTTGACCTTCGCAAGGTTGTGCTTGTTCGTACGCGAGGCGTCTCGAGGAAGAGTTTCTGCGCTCGCTCGAAGACGTCTCGCAACGGACTGCTCCACATCGAAGCTGGGTCTAGAGTGGACTTGCGCCAGGGTTTTCCTCCTCCTGCCTCCTGCTTGACGAGAAGGCCGGCTCGTGTTGCCGCTGCGTCAGAACCCGCCTCTTTCACGCTCTTGCGTACGATCCAGAGATGCTACACTGCGATGTCGCCGCGCGCGGCTCCAACAGCCGGCTTCACCCGCCTCGTTCGACCTCGACTATCCTTTCTTCCTTCCGCTCTTCACGCTCCGCTCATCTCGAGCAAACCTCAGGGCTTCTCCTTCCTCCTGTGCCTCCCAACCTCCAACGTACCAGGACACGCAGCAATGTCGGCAAAGGCGCGTGGAATTGCCTTCCACCGACCCTCGAGAACGGCTTCCCTGACTTTGCTCCATCCCTGCGCCTCTCCTGCCTCATCCCTGATGCCTCTGATCACACTCTCGACGACCCACGAACCCGCTCGCAGCCCATCCGCGAGTACGACGCCAAGCCCCTCCTCGCGCACCAACCGCCGGCTCCAAGGCAGTCAGTCGCAAGCGACGGCTTCCAGTTCTCAAGTGTACAGAGGCTGAACGAGAAGCTGAACGAGACGTCCCTCTCGATGAATGGGCTGCGGGAGAAACGAAACTTTGATGCACGACGACTGAGAGCCCATGAGAGGAGGTACTGCCGGAAAGAGAGCGAGAAAGAGAACGAGAGAGAGCAAGAGAGACGGAACGACGCGAAAACAAGAACGGAACTCTAATGTCGAACGAGAGAGGCGGATGCGAGCAAAGTCTAGACGGCGGCGGCCCCGGGACCGACGCATCGAGCGTGCACCGTCTACTGGCGCTGCTGGACGAGGATGCGGTCGGTGTTGAAGGGCTGGATGAAGATGTCGCTGCGGAAGAGGAGCGGGTCAGTGCAAAGTCGCGTGGGCGAGGAGGAGGTCGAGCGTACTCGGCCGGGTGACGGTAGAGCGGCTGCTTGAGGCGCTTCTGGTCGAGGTGGTGGGCAATGAAGCCGATGGAGCGTCCGAGAACGAACAAGCCGTTCAAGGTGCCGATCTGCAGGCGAAGGGTAGGGTCAGCGGAAGTCGAGAACGGGAGGTGACGGCGAAGAGGGGGAGGCGACGGCGCGAGGGGTGAACGCCGTAGAACAGCGCTTCTGCTGTAGAACAGCGAGTGCAGTTTACGTGAACTCACCTTCATGTACTCGGCAGCCTCCTCGGCGGTGAACGCGCCGGAGCTGCGGGAGGGAAGCGGCGTGGGTTAGTTCTCCTTCGTCCTGATTTTTGACGCATGAGGACTAGCGTTCTTCTTAAGTAAATCTACGAAAGAAACCGCGATTGCTGGACGAGGAGGAAGCGTCAGTACAAGGAAAAGTCGAGGAGGAGGAAGTGGAGGCTCACCTCCGTCGACGTTGAGGATGAGCGTGTCCTTCTTGGCGCTCGTGACGTCCTCGACGGCGAGAGCGTACTCGAGGAGCTTGGCAGACGGGAAGTGCTTGAAGACGTAGTTCTTGACGAGCTCGACACGCTTGTCCGGGTTGGCCTTGGACTTGACCTTGTGTCCGATACCGGGGATGAGCTTGTTGGCCTTGCGCATCGAGTCGACAAACTCGCGGGGCGTGAGGCCAGCCTCGAACGCGCGCGTAAACTCCTGCGCGGCGCCGTCGAGCGCGCCACCGAAGCGGTCGCCGATGGTGAGGAGACCGGCGACGAGCGACGAGACGAGGTCCTTGCCGGCACGGGTGGTGATGACGGTGGTCATGGCGCCCGAGACGGCGGGTCCGTGGTCGGCCGTGAGCATGAGGACCATCTCGAGGAACTTGGTCGCGTAGGCGGGGAGGCGACGCTTGAACCAGAGGAGCGAGACGACACCGCCGATGCCGATGTCCTCCTCAAAGACCTTGGAGATGGGCATGCCGGCGTAGAGGAGCTCCTGGCCGCGCTCGTCCGAGATGGTCGAGATGAAGGCGGCGGGCTTGCGGACCATGCCGAGCGTCTGGGCCCAGTTGTAGTCCATCGGGATCTGAGGAGGGGGAACCTCGGGCTTGGGCTGGATCGTGCCGTCGCCGACGAGCTTCTGGTAGGTCTCGGCGAGGACCTGCGGGAGCTCCTCGAACGTCGGGGGCACGATGAAGCCGGCGGCGCGCATGGCGTTGTTCTTGGCCTCGGCCGTCTCGAGGTCCGAGTTGGCCATCGAGCCGGCGTGGCCGAACTGGACGTCGGTGGCGAACATCTTGGCGCAGGTGCCGATGGCCCACGCGACGATGGGCTTCTTGATCTGGCCCGACTTGACGGCCTCGATGACGCGGTACTCCTCGACGCCACCGACCTCTCCGAGGAGGACGAGCATCTTGCAGTTCGGGTCGGCCTCGTAGCGGAGGAGGTGGTCGATGAAGGTGGTGCCCGGGTAGCGGTCACCGCCGATGGCGATGCCCTCGTACGCGCCGTCGGTCGTGAGCGAGAGGATGTTGTTGAGCTCGTTCGACATGCCTCCGGACTTGGAGACGTAGCCGACGGAACCGGCGCGGTACAGCTTGGACGAGAGGATGTTCTCGTTCATGCCGCCCGTGTTGCCGATACGGAAGCAGCCGGGCTTGATGCCGCCGACGGTCGCGGGACCGATGATGATGACCTCCTTCTTCTTGGCGAGGTGGAGGATCTCGCGAGCGTGGCGCTCGGGGACACCCTCGGCGATGAGGGCGATGGCCTTGATCTGGGGGAACTCGAGCGCCTCGAGGGTCGACTGGTAGACCGAGCGCGACGACGCAAAGTTGACGACGACGTCGGCGTCGGGGCACTTGGCGACGGCCTCCTTCATCGAGGTGAAGACGGGGAGGAGGGTCTCCTTGGTTCCCCAGTAGAACTTCTGGACGTGGTGGCCGCCGAAGGGGTAGACCATGGCCGCGACCGAGGGCGTCTCGCGTCCGCAGGCAAAGTCAAAGTCGAGCATGCCCTGGATCGCGCGAGGCTGGAGGCCGTACACGATCGAGCGCGTCGTCTCGTCAAAGGGGCGGTACCACGGGCGACCCGAGTCGGGCGCGTGGACCTTGTCCGAGAAGCTGACGATGTTGTCCTGGGGCTGCTGGCGCGAGGGCGTCGACGCGCCGGTCGGGAGCTGGGCGGCGCGCGACTTGGGCGAGCCCGGGACGGGGGTGAGGGTGCCGGTCGCATCGGCGGCGGCGCGGGCGCCGGGGACCTTGAGAGCGTCGTCGACCGACTTGATCAAGCCGAGTCCGAGCGGGACGATCGAGGTGATGTGGGTCTCGGGGCCAAAGACCTGGATCTCGACGCCGAGGGTCTCGCCGAGGAGGCGCATGGCCTTGAGGCCCTCCTGGTAGTTGGGGCCGCCGCGGCGAACAAAGATGCGGACCTTGTGCTCCTGAAGACGGTGCTGGTACTCCTTGAGCGCCGTGATGATGCCCTTGAAGGTCGCGGCGACGTTGGTGAAGTTGGCGATACCGCCGCCGATGAAGAGGAGCTTGCCCTGCGGGTTGGGCGTGCCGCGGGTCATCAAGTCGACTGCAGGAGACCGTCGAGCGTTAGCGAGGCGGTCTGAGAGCGGAAAAGAGAAGGCGGAAACGCACGGATGGTCTTGGCGTACTCGTAGGTCTGGGTCTGGGTGGGCGCGCCCGAGTATTCGCCGTAGTTGGCGAGCTCGTGAGCGAATCCGTGCGCGGCGATGGCGTCCGAGTAGACGACCGAAGCACCACCACCGGCAACCATGGTCCAGATGCGTCCCTCAGCGTTCAAGACGGTGAGCTTGAGCGAGGCGCCGGTCGAGCCGTCGAGCTTGGCGATGTAGGCCTCCTCCTTCGTGAGGTCACGACCAAAGGGAGGGGGCCAGAACATGGGCGGGCCCTTGTCGGCCGAGATCTTGCCGTTCGACATGGGCGCGGCGGCGGGGTTGATGATGGAGGGGTCGCGCGCGATGGCCCACTTGGGACCGACGACGTACTCGGCCGTCTGGTCGAGCTTGGCGGCCATGTCGAGGTAGAAGATGTCGGTCTTGCCGGTCGAGGGGTTCTCGACGGCGACGAGCGGGTTGATCTCGAGGTAGGCAAAGTGGAGGTCGACGTAGACCGAGTAGAGGCGGATGATGTAGTCGATGAGGGCCTCCTGGCGTTCGGCGCCGGTGACGTGCTTGAGGAGCTGCGAGCGGATCTCGTCGCGCGAGGGGAGCTCGCCGCCGACGGGGACGAGGAGCGTGAGCGCCTTGGCGTCGACATCGCCGACGTCGACACCGCCCTCGTGGGTGAACAGGATCACGTCGCCCTCGCGGACCGAGTTGATGCAGATGTAGTACTCGGCGTCCGAAGGGTGAGGGCAGAACGGCTCGACGATGAAGTTGTTGAGCGTGCCCGTCGTCTTCTCGACCTGCGCACGTGCGTTCGTTCGCAGTGTCAGTCCGCGTGTCCTTTCTGCAGAAAGGAGGCGAGGTGGAAGATGTGAGCGCACCTGAACTTGCTTGCCCGCGCGCTCAGCGATCCACTGCTTGCCCTCGGCCCACGTCTTGTTCAGTGCGCTGCGAGCGTCGAGGGAGTCAGCAAGATGCTACAGGACGACGAGAACAGCGTGCGGCGCACAGGAGACCGGCCTTTCCACGACGCTTGATGAGCTGGTCGGGCTTGACGACGAGCTTCTCGGTGAAGACCCAGTGAGGCAGCGCCGCATCAGGCGTGACCTGGTTGGTCTCGGGGTCCCACGAGACCTGTCCATGCACGCATACGAGGTCAGCACGGGTGTTGGGGACGAGGTTTGGGGGAACCGTGCGATGGTGGTGGGGTGGGGCAGCGAGTCGCGAACGCCGACGACGCGCTCTGGTGCCCGCTCGAGCGTGTAGAAAGTTCCCCAGAGTCTACGTAGCGACTGTCCAGCAGTATCCAGTCCATCCAGCGTTGTGTGAGCAAGATCCAGCCTGATCGAAACCCGGTCCCCATCCGGCACGACTCAACCTCGTCTCGTCCTCCTCAGACGCGGTGTAGGCTCGTGAGATGAACGTACCTGCGCAACCTTGACTTCGGGGGACTGGAAGCCGTCCCGTGCGACTGCCTTGGAGCCGGCGGTCGGTGCGCGGGCGAGGTGGTAGGCGAGGAGCAACTTGGCGTCGTACTCGCGGATAGGCTGCGGGCGGGTTCGTGGGTCGTCGAGAGTGTGAGCAGGGGCATCAGGGATCAGGCAGGAGAGGCGCAGGGCGGGAGCAAAGTCAGGAAAGTCGTTTCTCGAGGTTGGCGGAAGGCGATTCCACGCACCTTTGCCGACATTGCTGCTGCTTGAACGTCGGTGGTTGGGGGTATAGGAGAAAGGAGAAGCCCTGAGGTTTGCTCGAGATGAGCGGAGTGTGAAGAGTGGAAGGAAGAAAGGAAAGTCGGAGGTCGAACGAGGCGGGTGAAGGCTGTTGGGGGCCCGAGCGAGCAGGCAGCCTCGTACACGCTCAAAAGCAATGCGTGTGTGCTCGATGCGCGTCTCTGAGCAAGTTACGCGCTCCAAAGGGCGCAAAAACGCGCACTGCGGCCGAGGGAGAGCAGGCAGTCCACGAGCGAGGGGACATGACCGCATACAGCCAGCGTCGAGAGGAGGGTCGCGTGCAGTACAGTGGTATGGTGTGTCGACCCTCGCAAGCCATCCAGCGAGTCCTCCTCATCCACCTCGAGTCGACGCGAGTGCTGCCAGGCGTTGTGGTCGTCGAGTTTGGCGAGTCCGAGTCGATGAGCGGAGGCGAGTGGAAGGACAGCGAGCTGGAGCTGCAGCTGCCGAGTCTGAGTCTGTCTAGCCTGTAGTAGCTTGTATTGAGTACCAGCGAGCGGTAGGAAGCAGCAAGAGAGCCAGCCGACGGAAGCGCAAGCAACGTTCCCCGCCGCCGTTGCGACGCCGCGAATCGCTCCGACGCTCGTACTCCTTTCCAGCGCTCTCATGCCTCGCCAACAGCTGCATACGACTTGACACTCCGCATGCGACGTTCTGGAGACGTCGTCCACCAACTGCGAAAGTCTCGTCTCACGGCGACTCGTGGACGACCAGCTACGAAAGGCCGAGGAGTTCCTCCCACCGCCCGAAACACTCGGGCGAACAGGCGGCGTCGTACATCGTGCTCGTCTTGCTGCTATAAGTGCACGACGCTGCAAGACTGGAGGCGAGGGAAGCGAGAGAAGCGCGGCAGGGGGAGCGCGGAGGAGACGGGATGTCAACTTTGTCGAGACTGGCTTCTTCCAACAAAATAACCCTCGTTCTGCAACTGCGGACAGATACAAGCGCCCCCTCGACTGCACCTACAACTCCCCACTGCCCACCCCCATCCTCCACCTAAACGCTTCCCACCTCTTGCCCCCCTTCTTGCCCTCGGTAACCCACCTCGCAACCCTCAGCAAAGCCTTGACCGTCAGTCCCTCACCGGAGGAGAGGACCCCGTCGTAAGGCGTCAAGTTGAGCGAGTGCAACATTCGTCGGAGGCGGTGCGTGCGGGAAGGGGTCGAGGGGGAGGAGAGGAGGGTGCGAATGGGCGGTGGGAGGAGGGACGAAGGGAAGAGCGGGTCGCGCGTGGACTCGTCCGAGAGTCGGCGCGCCAGCTCGGTAGTCGACAGCGTAGTGTACATCAACTCCCACTTTGGCGGCTCGAGTTGGTCCGTCTCGTTACCCCTCGCTCGCTCCGCCGCCGCTGCGTTGGCCTCCTCCAGCGCCTCAAGCGAGAGGTAGTACTGCGTGTACGAAAGCGGCGTGAGGTAGGTGTTCTTCCGCGTTGGTGCGTGCGGGGACGAGTGGCGCGGTGGACGGGGAGGGCGGTCGGGATTGCGCGGAGGGCGCTTTGAACGCCCTTTGCCCTTCCCGCCTCGACGTCCTTTCTTCCCGCGGCGTCCGACCCACGTGCGTACCCGGTCCAACCATGACTCCCCCTCCCCGTCCTCCTCGAGATCCGCATCCTGCTCCTCCCTTATCTTCCTCCACATCTCCCCTCCCTCATCCGTGGCGTTATACTCCCACACCCTCACTCCGGGCAAATAAGTCGGTATCACACTCGGCGAGACATACACCGGCGCATAGTCCTTCTCGTGCGTCTTGTGCGAGGGGGGCAGGTGAGAATAGAGGGAGTAGGTGGAGGAGAGGAGGGAGGAGGAGAGGGCGCGGAGGTCGTTTGGCGCGGGCGAGGACGAGGAGCGAGAGGAGCAGGCGGAGCGGGCGGGTTGCGAGGTGTCCGAGTCTTGGAGGAAGCTGAAAAAGTCGACGTTCATGTGCCCGAACAGTTGCCTGCAAGAACGTGCAAGATGGCGTGAGACGCTATTCAGGGTGTTTCGCAGACTCTCCAGCTAGCAGAAAAGGTGCAGGAACAGTGACGGCGCGCACTCACCCGACGACCGTATCCTGCCAAGCCAGCACCAACTCCGCATACCTCTGATAACACCCCTCGTACCAGTTGTCCTTCGTCGCAGGCACGTGTCCCGTCAACCAAACTTGCATCCCCCGCGCGCGGGCGAGCGTGAGTTGTTGTTCGAGCCAGAGGAGTTGTTCGGTTCCCGGGTCGATGTCGCGGACGTTCTCGGAGAAGGAGGAGGAGGTGAGTGAGGAGATGTAAGATTGGAAGAGCGAGGAGGCGGCGGCTGAGGAAGGGTGAAGAGACGGATCGAGGTACGCCCGACTCGAGGCGTTCGCTTCCGCGCCCTCGGTGCGCCAAAGCGCAAGATCCTCGTCGAACGGCGGACATCCGTCGACAATCGAGTTGCGGCTGTAGAAGTAGAGCGTGTTGAGCGAGACGAGGAGCAGGTCGCCTTTGATCGCTTCGACCGAGTAGTAGCCGCCGCGCGCAAAGGTGTGGAGGAAGTGCTCCGGGATGAACGAGTGCCAGATTGAGAGGTACTCCGAGGTGATCTTGTTGGCTGTGGGAGAGTTGGGCTGTCAGTGCAGGCTTGCATGAGATCTCCCAGAGCGGGACGCACGACCAGGAGCGAGGACGTTGTGCTGCAGAACGGCCGACTCTTCAGCTCGAGCGATACCTCCAAGGTGGATGAGGCCACTCACCGGGTAGATGTCGTTGTTGCCGATACTCGCGACGATAGGGACGTCCTTGCCGAACGCAGACCGGACCCGGTCGACTACGAAGCGGTTCAGGTCGAAGATCTCGGGTAGCGAGCGCGGTAGTCGCGAGTCGATGTCTGTGCGTACAAATCGGACAAGTATGAACGACGCAGTTCGCTCAAAAGCCAGCGATTGCGTTCAAGCGACTGCTAGACGCACCATGTCGAGCGTTGTCCCCCGTCCAAACGACAAAATCCACCTCGCCCTTAAAGTGCTTCTCCAGCCAGTCGAAGGTGGCGTTGACGAGCGAGAGAGGCGTGTCGCAGTCGCTGCGGGAAGGAAGCAGGAGCATGAGTTGTCGCTCGAAGACAGCCTGATCGGCGGAAGAGCGACGCAGTGAGCGGTACCGCACCTGACTGGAAGACCCCAGTATCCTGCATCTCGGGCTCCGTCCGGCTTGACCAGCGCATCCACCTCATCCTCGTCGTCCGCCTCGATTCCGTCCGCGACAGACCATCCCTCCGTTCCAAAAGCCTTTCCCTTGCCCTTCTTCCCCTTGCCCTTCTTCTTCTTCTTCTTCTTTTTCTTCTCCTTGAAGTGACAGGCCTCGTCCTCACTCGCGCCTGTCCGGTAGAACGGATCGGGATGGACGTCGGTAATGTGTATGAAGCGGCCCTTCAACGGTCGTGCCGCTATGCTCTCGTCCCCGATGGCTGATGTTGAGACTGTCGACGAGATCAACGGCGTACTGCTGGTCGAGGAGGCGGCTAGGAGGAGGGGCAAGATGAGGGAGGAGAACATGGTCGCCAGGCACCTCGCGAGCCCGTTCGAGCGGCGCCGGATCAGTCGAGGGTCGAGTGAGTCCGTGGAGCAGTCTCGGAGGTTCAAGCAGCGAATCTGAGCGAGCGGGTCAGCTGTTCGAGGTTGACCTCTGCGCGATGATGGCGAGCGAACGTTGGCGGGAGTGAACCGCTCGTCTCGCTCGTTCTGCTGCTTGCTGTGCTTCTGAGCTCTCACTGGATCCCGAGCAGCACGCTAGCCTACCCGCTGCCCTTTCCCGCTCGCTCAGACACCCACTCCCGCCTTCTCCCCACCTCCCGTTCGCCTCATCAGCCAACATGGCCAGCGAAGACTTGACTGGACCCAAGGGCGCGCGCTTCCACACGAGGGAGTGGAAGCCGGCTGGAGGAGCGCCCGCTCGCGCTGCCGTTCTCTTCGTTCACGGGTGCGCCCGACTTCTCTTCATCCCGGCATCGGCCATCGCTCGACTTGGCTGACACTTAACAATGCGCCTGCAGCTTCATCGAGCATGTCGAGCGGTACAATCACGTCTTTGCGTCCTTTGCCGACAAGGGAATCGCCACCTTTGCCTTCGACCAGCGCGGTCAGTCTCCTCCGGTGACTTCTCGTCCTGACGCTCCACGTCTTCACTGACGATTTCGCCCGCGCAGGCTTCGGCAAGACTGCGACATACACGCCGAAGCACACCCAGGGCGTGACTTCGTGGCCCGAGCAATTCGACGACATCCGCCATTTCCTCGCGCTCGTCCTCGAAAAGTACCCGAGCGTGCCCGTCTTCCTCTTCGGTGCGTTTCCGCCGCATTGCTGTACCTTCTCTGTCGCTGACACGCTCCCGCGCAGGCCACTCGATGGGCGGCGGCCTCGTCCTCGCCTATTCGACCCGCTCCCCTCCCTCCGCCAACGTCGACCGTCTCGCCGGCGTCATCGCTTCCTCGCCTCTCCTGCGCCAGGCCAAAGGCGTCAAGGCTTCTCCACTTATCGTCAAAGCTGGCAGCTTGATCGGCAAGTTGAGCTCGACGTTGACGCTCAAGGCGACGGTCAACCCGGAGGTGCGTCGTCTCGCAGAATTCTCCCGTCTTCCTCGCAAACGAGCGCGGTTCCGAGATGTTTCGAGTCTTTCGAGGCAAACGTACTGAACCGGAAATCCTTCCGCAGGACACCTGCCGCGACCCCGCCGTCCAGCAGGCGTACGCGAACGACCCGCTCTGCAAGCAAGTGGGCACCTACCGCGGCGTCGCAGACATGCTGCTCGGGGTGCGTGTTTCGTCCCTTCCGCTCAATCTCGCCAAAGTCGCTGACTTTGCGATGTTACCATCCCGCAGGGCGAGCAAGTCGTCGGCAAGGACTACAAGCGCTTCCCAACCTCGCTTCCTTTGCTCGTTGTGCACGGCGACGCAGACAAGGCGAGTCTGCCTCGTGAACCCCGCCGTCCCGATGTCGCCGCTAACCCGGCTTCCTCCGCCGCAGGTCACCGACTGCGACTCGTCCCGCGAGTTCGTCGACAAGGTCAAATCGCTCGGCGCGAAGGACGCGACGTTCAAGAGCTTCCCCGGCTACTACCACGAGATGCACAACGAGCCTGGAGACGACAAGTGGGTCGAGATCAACTTTGTCCGCGAGTGGATCGAGCAGCACATCCCGGCCTCGACGTCTACGGCGGCGACGACGACCACTACAACGACGAAGCAGCCAGACTTGCCCTCCCTTGAGGGTGCGGCGGCGGGCTCGTCGGGCGCGAGCGAGGTTCCTGGACTCGCGTCGGAGGCGGGCGGCGCGGAGGGAGGCGACGGTGTCGGTGCGGATGATGCGGCTGCCAGCGCCAAGGTGCAGGAGGGCAGGGAGAGGGAGAGCAAGCTGTAGAGGGCGTGGGACGAGAGTCGTTACCCTACATCAAGCCCGTTCATACCCTCGCTCTCCACTCCGGTGATTCCTCCTCCTCTTCTTCTCTCTGTGTGTTGTCTGTAACTCGCGCGTTTTCGCTGCTCTCAAAGTCGCGAGCAACATCCAACGGGAGCGAGCGCAGCCGTTGAGTGAAGGCTCCCAACGCCTGAACGCGAGCACGCGCGGCGACCGCCTCTTCGCCGCTTCTTGCCTCTCTCTCGGCGCTTACCCCGCTTCGCAGGGCTCACAGACTGTCCTAGCGGCCCTCAATTGACGCTGTGCATGTCCGCGCACCACCTCCAGCCCCGACGAACGCCTAAGCAGACGCGCACGCAGCCGCCCGCCGAACGACGGCACGCTCCTCTTCTCACTAGCGCGACGAACCAGCTGCGACGATTCGTACGCTTATCGTTAGCCCGGGCCTCTGGCTCCTTCTGCGCTGCTGCGTCCGTCTTGTGGTGCGGATCGGCTCGATGGGGGTTCGCTGGCAGACGGTCGCCTCTCTCTCTCCTCCTCCTCCTCCTCTTCGCTCCTCGTTGACTTTCTACGCGCATCGTTTCTGGGAACCGCTTACAATACGCTCGTTCGTCATGCTTGTACTACGAACAACACCTCTGCTCGCCGCCCTCTCGCTCCTCTCCGTCCTCTCGGCCGCATCAAGCGACTTGCCCAGTCAACTGCCTCCGCATGCCGGTCAGTCTCCTCCCTTCCTCTGTCGCAACCAGCATCTGACCCTCGCATCCCGCAGCCCTCCCTCCCTCCCACTCCTCCTCCCTCTTCGCCGACTCCTCCTCCTCCTCCGCCGCCGAAGACTCCCTCAAAGCCCTCCCCCAACCCCTCCCATTCAAGATCAAGCGCCCTCGCTCGCTCGAACAAGTCCAGCAGAACCTTGGGAAGCGACTGGCGAAGAGGGGCGAGGAGGGGAGCAAGACGGAGAGGGTGCCGTTCGTTTCGAGGACTGCTGCGGCCACGGGAGGTGGGGATGGGCAGGGTGGAGCGGAGACGGGGAGGGCGACGCAGCGCGTTACGGCCGGAGGGAGCCGAGGAGGGGGAAGTGTCGCGGCTGCTCAGCCTGTCCCGTCGACGACTCAGACGGTCGAGACAGGCTCGAAGATCGTCTCGACTGGTCTCTTGACCATGGCGTCGCCGTCGGCAGCTGCAGGAGGAAGCGGAGGGACGGTCACGCAGGTCGAGACGGCTTCTTCGGGCGTGTTGATCACCAGCACGGCGGGACCGGCGAGTTCGGCGTCGGCGTCGGATGTCGCTAGCGCACAGGCAGCAGAGGCGACGTCGAGCACGAGCATGACCAGCGGAGGAGCGGCGGCGGGCGCGAGTGTAAGCAGGATGCTTGCGGGAGGAGTTGCGGGTTTTGCCGCCGTCCTCCTCGTGCGGTGAGGAAGCGAGGCTCGTGTAGATACCGCATAGACAGTATATATCGCCAGAACAGCCTGCAACAGCCGCCGGTCGGCTTACTTCCTCGTCCTCCAGACTCTGCGAAGGCGGGCGCTCTGGCTCGTCAGCTGGCCAGCAGGACCGCATTGGGGCGACCGAACCCGCACGTCATGACGAGAAGCATTCGTGAGAATGACGGAGGAGGTCGGGCGAGGTGAGGGGACTCTAGCAGGAACAGCAAAGGCGGCGAGGAGGAGAGGAACCGGAAGAACAGTCTCGTGGCCGCTTGTTGCAGATCCCCGTGTCGCTAGAGTGTTCGTCTCGTCATCAGAGTGAGTGCACGAAGCGATGCCCTGAAGAACGATGAGCGAATGAGTCGAAGCGGCGTCTACCGGTGAACTCAAGGTGTGGCAAATGAGCGAGACGACGAGTGCCCGCCAGAGTCGCCACGTCGAATCCACGTCGGAATCGACGTTGATTAGAGTAAACGAAGCCATTGCAGTCCCCAGAAGGTGGCCATGTTGTGGAAGCGAGGGCAGAAGCGAGGGGAGAAGGCGAGGAGGGGGAGGGGCTGGGGAAGCGCGACCGGGAAGGGCGGAGCTGAGTGCCGGGGATGTGCGCGAGTGGCGGAAGAGTCGAGCGTGAGAGTTCTGGAACACAGGCGTGCACAAGGGGTCGCGGGCGATGACGAGTTCGCCGGGCGGTGGTCGGGCTGAGGGCGAGCGCGCGTTGGGGACGACGACGCCCGACGCCCTCGCTCTTCGTCCTCACCGCTTCCCGGAGAACTTTGCTGTTCTCTGCTTCTCTCTTCACACTCTCACACCCATCCACACACCCTCTCACCCACACACAAGCTATCCGCACACCTCTCACACCCGACCCCAGCTCGCCCCATCCTCTTCAGACCCGGCTCATCGCCACTCACGCAATGACTGCCTCTTCGGCACTCGAGACCTCGCTCCCGCACTCTGTCGGGCCCGAGGCTGCGACCACCACAGCAAAGCCGCCCCGTGCGCCGCTCAGGATGCGTCACCCCGACTACACTCAGACCGACGTCCTCGATTCGTCGGACTCGGATGCAGCGTCGGATTCTGAGGGCGAGACGACGGCGGTCGACGATGGGACCTACGAGGACGACAACTACGTCCGCAAGGTCCTCAGCAAGGAGAAGCCGCTCCCGCCCATCACCTGGAAGAACATCCACCGCAACATCCAGTGGATCTCGACCCTCGCCCTCACCATCGTGCCCCTCCTCGCCATCTACGGAGCGTTCACGACGCCCTTGAAGTGGCAGACGGCGGTCTGGAGTGTCGTCTACTACTACTACACCGGACTTGGGTGAGTCGCCGAACTCCTCTCTCTACCCTCGCTCTTCGCCCTCTGCTTCCGGCGCTTCCGTTCTACATTCATGCACATCTTTAACGATGTGCTTGAGCTTGGAGTGGTGCCGGATTGCGTCGCGACCGACGTGTTCGCCGAGAAACCGTCGCTGACCTTCTCTTCCCCTTTCCCTCTTCCCCCCTTCTCCCCGCTTGTCGCGATCCGTCTGCGCTCACTTTACAGTATCACGGCAGGCTACCACAGGCTGTACGTACCGCTTCGCTTGACAAGCAGGCCATGGGCCTCGAAAAACGGACTTCGAACTGACAAAAACCTCTTTTTCTCGCCTGCAGGTGGGCCCACAGGTCCTACACCGCCTCTCTGCCTCTCCAGTACTTCTTGGCACTTGGAGGAAGCGGCGCAGTCGAGGGGAGCGTGAAATGGTGGTCTAGGGGACACCGCGCACACCATCGCTACACCGACACAGACCTCGACCCGTATTCGGCGCAGAAGGGCTTCTGGTGGGCTCACCTTGGCTGGATGATCGTCAAGCCGCGCCGTCGTCCCGGTGTCGCCGACGTTTCCGACCTCAACAACAACCCGGTCGTCAAGTGGCAGCACCGCTACTATCTCCCGCTCATCCTCGGCATGGGCTTCGTCTTCCCTACCATCGTCGCTGGACTCGGCTGGGGCGACTTCCGCGGCGGATTCTTCTTCGCCGGCGCCGCTCGCCTCCTCTTCGTCCACCACGTGCGTTCCTTCGCCTCCTTCGTCTTCTCTCCTCCTTTCGCTGACGCTTTCGCGTTCCATAGTCGACGTTCTGCGTCAACTCGCTTGCGCACTGGCTGGGCGAGACGCCCTTCGACGACAAGCACACGCCGAAGGATCACTGGCTCACGGCGCTCGCGACTGTCGGTGAGGGCTACCACAACTTCGTGAGTCTCCCGCCCGCTCTCTACGCACTCTACGACGTTGTTTCGTGCTACTGCGGCATTAGCGACGTCACTCGAGGCGTTTGCCGTCGACGCCGCTCTCATCGACCTCCCGCTGACCTTCTCCCTTCTCCTCCAGCACCACGAGTTCCCCTCCGACTACCGCAACGCACTTCGATGGTGGCAGTACGACCCGACTAAGCTCTTCATCTGGACGATGTCGAAGCTCGGATTGGCGTCGCAGCTCAAGACGTTCCCCGACAACGAGATCAAGAAGGGCCAGTACGCGATGACGCTCAAGGCTGTCGCGCGCGAGGCCGAGAACATCGAGTGGCCCAAGTCGTCGAACCATTTGCCTGTGCTCACTTGGGACGAGTGTACGTTCGGCTTTCGTCATCGTCGTCGTCGAACTTTGCGACCTTCTCCCCGACTTCCGTTGCTGACTTGCCTTTCCTGCTCTCTCGACTACAGTCCAGGACGCCTGCAAGACCCGTCAGCTCCTTGTTGTCGCCGGTTTCATCCACGATGTCAGCACGTTCATCGACCAGCACCCCGGCGGTGCCGGCTTGATCAAGACTCGTCTCGGTCGCGACGCGACGACTGCCTTCTACGGTGGCTACTACGAGTGCGCCTTTCATTCTTCTTGCCCTCGTCCGTTCACGTCGCTGACGTTCCCGCTTCCGCAGCCACTCGAACGGCGCAGCCAACCTGCTCGCCCAGTACCGTGTCGGTGTCATCGAAGGCGGCTACGAGGTCGAGCACATGAAGAAGTATTCGGAGGTCGTCGAGAACCTCAAGAAGCACGGCGCCGATGGCGTGGCCGGCAAGAGCGCCGACCTCGTCAAGGGCCCGAAGCAGACGTCGGTCATCAAGGGCGACCCTCAGCTGAAGAGCGCGCCGCTCGAGACGCTCGCCAAGCCGCCCACCTTCAGCGAAACCAACCTCTTGGGCGGTCTCAGCCTGAAGGTCAAGGCGTAACAGCCGTCGCCGTCATCGGTTCAAGGGGGGGGGGGGTCGTCGACCGACTCTCGCCTTCGTCGCTTCAGGTTCATCCGTCTTCGCATGCTTAGAGACCCTCTTCCTCGTTGTTTTGTGCATCAGTCGCCCGCAGTCGTCCTTACGAGCCCACTACTACCCTTTCCATGCTCAGTAGTCTTGCCCCCGCCCCTTCGTTCTTTGATTACGATCGACCCCTCGCTCTTTCGCTGTAGCTCTACTTCGTTCCCTCCCTTGCGGGTTGCCCGCTTACTCCGCATGGAAACTTGATCAGTGTGCACAATAACCCGCGACTGGTTGAGCGTTTTGCGAGAGTCGAGGCGAAGGTCGATCCTCTCACTCTTCTTTGCCCTCGTTGCTCGCGCCCATTCAGTAGTCCTTCGGTGCGCGGGCTGCCCCCAGACGTGCAACGTTGTCTTCGTGCTGCGGTTGAGGGGGAGGGAAGACGTTGAGAAAGGCCTTGCGAAGGTCGGCTTTGCCTGCTCCTCTTGCGTCGACAGCGACGCCTTTCGCATCTCGCTCGACGACATCGAGATCTCGAGTAGCATCGGTTGCAGAGTTGAGCGTCTGAGGCGCTGGCGAGACGTTCATGGACAACAAGGGTCATGCTGACTTCCTCACGGCGCTCGCGACCATCGGCGAGGGCTACCACAACTTCGTGAGTCTCCCGCTCGCTCTCTGCGCGCTCTACGACGTCATTCCGTGCTGCTGCGGCAGTCGCGATGTCGTTCGAGGCGTTTGCCGTCGACGTCGCTCTCCTCGACCTCCCGCTGACCTTCTCCCTTCTCCTCCAGCACCACGAGTTCCCCTCCGACTACCGCAACGCACTTCGATGGTGGCAGTACGACCCGACTAAGCTCTTCATCTGGACGATGTCGAAGCTCGGATTGGCGTCGCAGCTCAGGACGTTCCCCGACAACGAGATCAAGAAGGGCCAGTACGCCATCCTGTCCGACCCAGGCTCTGCGCTGTCGTCTCGGCGCCATGAAAGCGCTTCTTAGAAGACCGCCGGGAGCAGTGCTGAACAAGACTCGACGAGGAGCGAGACGGTAAGAGGTTCCTCCTCGCGAAGGTCGTCCTCTTCGTCCGCCACCTCACGCTTGTCGCTCACGCATGCACCTGGGGACCATTACGACAGCGAATTGCATAAGACGAGAGAGGGAAGTTATAGATACTACGACAGACCGGTTACGTTTGCGAGAGGGAAGAGAGAGGGAGAAGGAAGGACCGCACTTCCAATCGTGATTTGCTTCGTTCACTGAGCGAGATCCTGCGTATGCAGCCTTAGATGATAGGCTTTTTGTCCTCGTCCTCCTTCCTGGGCGAGTCTCCGTTCCGCACGCCCGCTCCGGATCCCCGTCCTCCGCTCGACCCAACCGCCGGACTCGCGCTCAGCATCGGGTCGATCTGGCCCGCACCGGCAGCAGGCGTCGGCACGGCACTCGCTGACCCGTGTTGCGGGTTGTACGAGAACGAGTCGAAGCCGAACGGGTCGGAGCCGGCGGAGAAGGGGTCGACGGCAGTCGACATGTCCCTGCAAGAGTACAGGAAACACATCAGCCACCGTCGGACTCGTCAGGGGAAAGCGAGGAGACATACAAGCTTCCCGCAACCTGCTCAGCGAGACGAGGCGAAGAGTCAGTACTTGCGAGACGGACGGAGGAGATTCGCGGACGCACTCCTGGCCAGTCGAAGAATCCGCTCGCTCCCTTGCCGACGAGGACGCTGCCGAAGAAGTGCGAGTCGTTGAGGAAGTGGTCGACACCGTCAAAGGGACCTCCGCCGGGTCCACCGAGTCCAAGACTGTTCCCGCCTGGTCCGCCAGCGACTCCGGGACCTGCAGGCGTGGCGCCTTCGAACATGCCGTTCCCGACGAAGGCCGAGGGCGTCTGCACGCCCGAGATGGTGCCCGGTCGGTACGACGCGTTCGGCGTTGGGGCGTTCGAGGCGGCAGCGAAGGGGTTGCTGAAGGGGTTGCCGGCCGAGCTGAACTGACCGGGGAACATCGGTGCAGGCGAAGGCGGCATAGCCGACGCGAGCGAGACGTGCGGGAACCCGCCTGCGCTCGAAGCGAGCGTGCTGTTCAAGGCGGCAAAGTCGGCATGCGGGTCGAGCGGGCCTTGCTGCGGAGGCGGACCGTTCGGCATCCCAAGCCCGGCCGGACCGTGAGGCTGTTGCTGCGCTGCGGCAAGCGGGTTCTCGTCCTCGTCGCCTCGCGTGCTGGTCCCGCGGCTCCTCCCGCCGCCCGTCTCAAGCGCCTTCCAGCTCGTGCCCAGCGCACGGAGGATGACGAAGCACGTCATGGCTGCGTGACGAGGGTCGCCCTGCGCAGCCTCCTGGCAGTCCTTCATGAGCTGGAGGAGGAGCTGCTCGAGCTCGTCTGGGTCGACGAGCTGCGCGAAGCGCGAGTTCGAGACGCGGACTTTGACGAGGAAGACGCTCGAGTAGAGCATGAGGAGGAAGTTGACCTGCGTGACCTCGAGCGTCAGCGAGAGACTCCACGGCCGTCAAGGAAGTGGACTCACGTCGGGGCAGTGCCGCAAGACGCTCAGCTCGGCATACGCATGTCCGAGCTGCAACAAGCTCTTTGCAGACGCGATAGTCGACGAGACCGAGTCGGGATCGTCCGAGGCGTCGCCGTTGCGGAGGAGCGTGTGGAGCGGGATCGTGTTGAGGAAGAGCTTGCACGAGTCTGTGCGGGCGACGGGTAATCAGTCAGGCGCCGATAGGGGTTAAGTGCGGGAGGAGCGGGACGCACATTGGTAGAAGAGGAGGTTGTTGGCGATCGGCTCGCCCGGCATCGGACACCACCTCGCCTTCCACTCGTCCATCCTCGAGTTGAACAGCTGCGGCACACCCTTCCATCAGCGTTGCTCCTGCAGGCGAGGGAGAGTGCGGGAAAGCACCTTCATGACAACCGGACTGGGCATCTCGTCGCTCGCGCAGCTGAGGCCGTACAGCCTGTCGCGGAAAGTATCCATCACCTGTCCGACAATCGTCTGCATCTCGACGTGGGCGATGACGCCTGCGAGGACCCGACTCGTGAGCAAGGAGAGAGAGGAAAAGATGAGGAGTGAGACGCACCGAGGTCGAAGGGCAGGCATTGCGGATGGAGAGGGAGGAGGAGCGGCTTGGCCTCGAGGATCTGGTACGGCCGTCCCATAACCGTCGCCATGCTGCGCACATACACCCACGTTAGCCTCTCCTCCCAACATCTCAAAAAAGCGACCCGGACTCACTTGCGATCAATCACGAAAACCATCAACCACGTCCTCTCCCTGTTCAACGCGTCCCACGTCTCCTGCTCCGTGACCGCCTCGGGCCCGTCTTTCGGCAAGGTGACCCACGGGTTCGTCTTGGATGAGTTTCCGGGCTTGGAGAGGTGGCGGTCGACCCACGAGGCGGGGCGGAAGAGGTTCAGCTCGAGGGCCATGCGGATTGCCTGCCCGTCAAGTGCGTCAGTTGCGAGTCTTAGGAGAGGGAAGGGCGACGGGGGCGCACCATGGTAAAGTACAGCGACGCGCGCTTCGGCCTCTCCTCCCTTCCCGCCGCGACACTCTCCCCCGTCGGGGGATAGGTCCACACGGTCAAGATACAACAAGCCTGAACGCTCTCGACGCTCCTCTCGCCCTCGGAGACGCACTCGACGAAACACTTGTGCGCCTCCTCGTAGATCTTTTCGTGCAGGGTTGGGTCGGCGTGGAAGCGCGATGCGACGGCGAGTATGACGGTGAAGAGGAAGGGAGAGGTCGCGCAGACCCAGGGGGCGGTGTGGCGCGCGGGGTCGAGGAGCGGGAGGTGGATGTAGGCGTAGTCGAAGAAGCTGCGTGCGCAATCCCAACCCTTGTCAGCTCCACGGGCTCTCAACAAGATGCGAGCGAGAGGGGCCCACGCACATAGTGAACAACTCGACGGCCAACTCGGGCGTCACAATCCCCTTACTCAACACAGCCGGTGTCGTCCCCCCCTCCACCGGCGCGCCCAGCCTATCCTTCTGCCTCTGAATCGCGTTCGTCACCGTGCTCAGGTTAAAGTTCGAGTCGAGTCCGGTCAGTTGAGAGCGGCCGTCGATTTGGGCTGCGAGGGAGGCGTCGGCGAGCATTGCAAGTGAGGAGCCGGCGGGGGTAGGTTGGGAAGTCGGGATAGGGACGGTTGCGGATCCGGGAGAAGGGTTCGAAGGAGGTCCTTGCGATGCGCGACGGGCGTTCGTAGATGGACTCGGACCCTGCGCCCCGCCTCCTGGGAGCGGGAGATGCGCAAACTTTGTACTCGCACTCCCCGACTGGGCCGTCGTACTCGGCGAAAGTGCGAGCGTCCCACCCATCGACGGCGACTCGAACGTCCCGTTCGACGTCGCGGACGAGTTGTGGCGCGCGCGTTTGGCCTTGCGCCCGCCCGTCGAGGTGGCGAGGTCGTTGATTTCGGAGCCGGACGAAGGCGAGTGGTCGTCGTTCGGCGGGAGAGAGTACCTCATCGCCTGACTACTTCCCACACTCGCTCTCCGCCCGGCAGCAGAAGGCTCGGGAACGAGTCCCTCGGCCAGAGACGCCTGCAACTGCGAGATCGCGCTCGGGTCTGGTTTCTCGCCCGAGCCGATCGAGTCGAGGACCGTGGCGAGCGTCTTCTCGACCATGCGGAACTTGTCGACCAGGTTCGAGTCGGATTGTTTGCCCCTGCCCATCGCGCCAAACTCGTTAGCTTTTCGAGCAAGAGGAGTGAGAGGGGGGCGGGACGAACCGAGAAGGACGCTTGCCGCGCTTGCTTTCGACAAAGACGCATTCGTGGTTCCCTGCGCGGCATCTACGGGAGGGAGGACGAGCTGTCAGTTTTCTCGCGCGAGGATTGGTGAAGGAGGGAAGGTTGGGACGGACCGCTTGCAGGGAGGGTCTTCGGCGCCGTCGCATCGGGTCTGTGGGACGTAGGAGGGGTGCGAGAGTCAGTACGCGCGCTTGGGAGGCGTTGGGCGGGGTGGGAGGTCCACCAAGTCTCGCTCCTGGCGAGTGCAGTCAAATCCCCCTCCCTCGACACTGCCGCCTTCGGTACGGCCGGGATCTGGCCTGCAGCCACCAACAAACACTATGCGGGCCTCGCCGCGCGCAACGAACGCCCGCCCGTCGCGTAAAGTCCACCCGGACAGGCCGAGTTGCGTTCGCCTCGTCGCAGTCGTCCGCAACGAACCTGCCAGCGCTTCGCCCGAGTGTCCAGGGTGTGGAGAGAGTGCCAATGGTCCATACGCGAGCGCGCAGAGAGCCCTGCTGAGCGTCCAGTCGTCCCTCGCGCACGACTCCGCCCCCCACCTCGATCGCAATACGTCCTGACGAACACCCGTCCTCGCTCGCTCGCTCGCACAGCAGCAGCAGGGAGGCAGTCACAGCGAGAGAGAGAGAGAGATAGTTCACGGTTACGCACCTTTAGTTTCCTACACGCGAGGCAAGCCCTGCTGGTCCTCTCTCCCCCGTTGGCCGTCTCGACCCGTATCCCGCCCTTGAACGAATTGACGTACGCGTTGCCCGTCTTGAGTTTCCCGTCTGGCCCGTACTGCGCGGGCAGCGAGGGGCTGCCGCGTGCGTCGGAGTGGGTGGGCGGACCGGGTGTGGACGAGGTCGAGGCTGGGTTCATGCGGCGCCGCTGTTCGAGGAGTGGGAGTGGTTGCGGGTGAGTTGGAAGGGTGTATGTGTGCAGTCGAAGGCAATGCAGCAGTCGTGAGCTCGTCTGCGAGGCGTCGTCGAGGCGTGGAGGAGGAGGACAGGCTGGATTCAGGCACCAGAGACTCTCGTGACACGCTCAAACGACGAGCGAGCGAGCGTGCAAGTATAGTCGTGCGTAGTGCTGCTGGCTGGCTGGCAGACGGCGTGAGTAGGATCGTAGAGTCGCTGCTGCTGTTTGTCGACGAGCAGCACTCTCGCTTTTTCCAGCAGCTGGCCTCGAGCGGGGTCGCTGGTGCGGGGGCCGGAGATAGATTGCGGAGTAAGCGAGTCATTACAAACTGGCAACTTGTAATCAGCTAAGTTACGATACAAACTCGACTTGTAATGCCGACCTTCCCTCGACGAGCGACCCGCCTCTTCGCTTCCGCTCCACTGCGCTTCAGCTGCGACCACTGTCGATCCACGAAACGGCTGACTCTGCTGCGCACACCCGCTTGACCCGCTGTCCGCGCTGACGCCGCCCGACCCTCTCCTCTCATCCCTCTCGCTGCCTGCCATCTCCCGCTTCAGGCAACCCCAACCCGCCCCCCCTCTCGCTCAGGCTCAAACCGACTTCCCTTCCAGTCGACATGCCACCTCGACGGGCCGGGCATCAACAACCCGGTGAGGCAGGACACGCCCGTTCGGTAGATGCGACGAGATGGCTTTTGAACGCTCGAGGCAGGAGGGGTGCCTCGACGACCAACGCAGATCCGTGTGTTGGGCCGGATGGAGTAACCCAGCTCTAGTGACGCACGCGAGGACACTCTGGCGCAACGAGCTGGACGAGGAATTGAGCGAGTCCCGCTCGACGCTTCCGGATGCGATTTCCGTTGGCCCAACTCACGCTGCGGCACAAGGGATTTGCTCGCTTGCTTGGTTCTGAAGCGGCTCCTGCTTGGCGATCGCTGGAAACGCAGCACCCCGCTCGCTTCCCTCCTCGGCCTCTCTCCCTCCTCTCTCTTTCTCTCCTCACTTCCCTCTCGCTTCCCGCTCTCCCGCTTTCCGTGTCGGCTGGTCCGCTCACTCCCTCTTTCTCTCTTCCTCTCCGCCCTCGACCGCAAGTCAAGCCGGCTGTGCCGCCCCCTCCTTCGCCAACGATGCACCTCCCCACCCTCCTCGCCCTTCCCGTCTCCTTCCTCCTCTCCACCGCCCTCGCACGCCCCGTCCTCGACCCCTCCGCCCTAGACGTCGAAGGCTCATGGCGCCTCCCGCCCTCGTTCCTCTTCCCCCCTCCACCGCTCAACTCCACCCACTCGCAGGAGAAGAGTAAGAGGAACGTGGTGAAGAACCCAAAGGTCGTTTTGAACCCGAAGAATCCGGCGTTTGAGAGTAGCGCGAGGAGTTTGGCGGCGGTGAGGACGTCGACGGCGGTGTGGGTTCCGGCTCCTACGACGGTGGAGACGACGAGGGTTGCGAGTAGTACGACGAGGGAGGCACTGCAGACTACGACCACGACTATGGCAACGGGAAAGACGACTTCGACTTCGTCCGGCAGCACGAGCAGCAAGGCAGCGTCAACGACGAGCAGTGCGCCCGCCGCGCAGTTCACTGGACAAGCTGTGCGTCCACCTTCATCTCACTCTTTCGACGCGCACCCATCGGGGAGAACTGACCGGAACCTCGGTTGCAAACTCGTAGACCTACTTCTACCGTTCGTCCCACGCTCGCCCCCTTTTCCTTCCTCCTACTCCCACTCCCGCTTCTCAAAAAGCTGATGCTCTTGCCTGGCACGCCCAGAATACGGCGCCGCGGGAGCGTGCGGAAACTACAACCCGGACTCTGCGTCAATCGTCGCTCTCGACTCTCGCCTCGTTCGTCCTTCCCCTCTCCTTCTCCCTCTCGGAGAGGTACTGATACTTGGAGGGTGCAGTACGGAAATATGGGCCAGGTATCGCAGTATTGTGGAAGGGAATTGACCATCACCAATACGGCGAACGGGAAGAGCGTCGTAGCGACCGTCGCTGGTCCGTTCCCCCGCTTCCCCTGCGTCTTGCCGAACTTCCATGAACTTTCTACTGACACCCCAGATACGTCCAGATGCGTGCCCGGGCTGTAGCAGCAGGTTTTCACTCGACCTGTCGTTGGGCGCATTCGAGGCGATTGGGGACTTGGACACGGGTGTGCTGCCTATCGTGTGGTCGTGGAATAGCTAGGAGGTCAGCCCGGGGCGCGGGGGGCGTCATTGGGGGTTGTTGGATGGAAGGACGACGAGGAGGAGGAGGAGGACGGCTGGTTCCCTCGCTGTCGCTGGAGGGAGACGGGGGATAGACACTGGTTTGCTAGATAGTGCGGTGTGTTGTAAATCGTGGTTTCGTCAGTGTTCGGTACTAGGTCAAGGAACGCAGGATGAGAGGAGAGGAGGCGGAGAAGGCGGAGGGAGGAAGAGGGGCCAGGCAGTACAAGATCGAAGCATGGCTTGGAACTGCTTGTTATACTGCAAATCATTCTACTGCTCCCCACCGCAGCCATCTACCTCGCCCGCTCGCGCGCGGCTAAGGCAGCGTCTCCTGCACCTTCCTCTCCTCCTCCTCTCCCTCTCCCTCGTCCAGCAATACGATGGGGACGTCCTTGTCTTTGGGCATCATGAGGAGCTCACCATCGAATGTGATCTGCAGGGCCGAGCGTAAGCGAGGTCGAGGGCGAGGGCTGGAGGGAAGAAAGAGGGGAGGAGGGAGGGGACGGACCTTCTTTTGGCGCTTGGCGGCGCGGAGGGTGCCGTTCAGCGCTTCGACTGCGACGAGACCGACACTTTGCATCAGTGCGCGGACAACAATCGTAGAAGAACAAGCGCAGGGACGCACGAGTATGTTGCGTCTTGTCGAACACAATCCCGTAAGGACACTCGATCTTCCCGCTCGAATGGTTGCGCGAGCCGTGAGACTTGAGCGTGACCTACTCCCCGGCACGAGTCAAGCAGGGAAAAGCGAGTCAGGACCAGCGAGAGACGGCGAGAGGGAGGGGCTCGCGGACGGTGAGGATGCCGATTTCGTGGGCTGTTTGCACTGCGGACCGAGGTCGAACGGGTGTCAGCGCGGACCAATGAAGTGCATGGATGGGTCTACGCACTCTCTGGCTTGATATGTGCCATGCGGCGGGTGAGGACGAAGCCAACCCACGACGAGGGAGGGGGTCGTCAGGTCAGCCAGCTCCAGCACCTCTCGCCTCGCTCTGCTGCGCCCGAGCCACTCGCTAGCCGTTCTCACGCTCGCTCCTGACCCCGTCCGCGCTCGAACGACCTCCGCGCGCTTCATCGCCAGCCAGCTCTCCACCTCGTCGACCCCCGCGACTTGTCAACAGGGCAACACACACCGGCGAGCACTGCAGCGATGGATTTGTACGACGAGTTCGTGAGTCACGGCATTGCAGCTCTCGGCGCGCACGGGCAGGCGGGTGTCGTGCAGCGCGGCGGACACATCTCGCTCGCTTGCTGGGCTGCTCAACGGCCGACCTCTGTGCGCCAGGACCGTACTGACCGTTCGCGATACACCACAGGGCAACTACATCGGCCCGGAAGACGACCTCGAGTCGGACTACTCGGACGACGAGGCGGGCGAGCAGCGGCAGCAGGATGGTGCGGCGTCGCCTACTCCTGCGCCGCTGAGGGCGTACGATGAGGACGAGGTGGAGCCGCTTGAGGGCATGGAGGTCGATGGTAAGTGTGCTTGGGCTTTTCTCTCGGGGTTGCTGAGGAGGTTGTCTCCCTGGGGTGAAGTCGAGGGCTGGATGCGCCAGTCGCTTGCGCTCGTGGGACACGGTGCTACGCCGAGCGAGTGCAGAGACAGCGGAGACGCGCAAGCGGGCGACTGACCAGCGACTCTTCCCGCAGACGTCCCGTCATCAAACGCGATCGTCCTGCACGAGGACAAGACGTACTATGCGTCCGCCTCGGCGACGTACGGCCCTGGAGTCGAGACGATGGTGCAGGAGGAGGACGCGCAGCCGCTCTCGGTCCCGATCATCGAGCCTGTCAAGACGCGCAAGTTCCGTCTCGGCGCAACGACCGGGCCAGAGCGGCGGTGGGATGACCAGTCAGTTCGCGTTCACTAGTTACCGCGAGGGAGCGAGCTGACGAGGCGGGACCGTGCAGGTTCATGATGGGCCTCGCCTCGAACCCGGAGACGGTCCGCAACGTTGCGATTGTCGGCCACTTGCATCACGGCAAGACGTCGCTCGTCGACATGCTCGTCGCCGAGACGCACAAGATCGACATCGACACTGACAAGCAGGTGCGTCCCGGCGAGCGTAGCTTGACTCGTGTCCCCCGCTCACATTGCTTCGCCTCGGCAGCTCCGCTTCACCGATACCCACTCCCTCTCCCAGTCCCGCAAGATCTCGATCAAGTCTTCTCCCATGTCGCTCGTCCTGTCCAACACCAAGGGCAAGTCGTACCTCGTCAACTTGGTCGACACGCCCGGCCACTCGAACTTTGTCGACGAGATCGCCTCGGCCGTCCGCGTTGCCGACGGTGCTGTCGTCGTTGTCGACGCTGTCGAGGGTGTCATGCTCACGACGACGCAGACGATCCAGCATCTCGTCAAGAACCGCATCCCGATCGTCCTCGTCGTCAACAAGGTCGACCGCCTCATCCTCGAGCTCCGGCTACCGCCTGGCGACGCCTACTTCAAGCTGAAGCAGACGATCGAGGAGGTCAACACGGTCATCTCGGAGCTCGACCCCGACCCTGCGCTCCGCGTCTCGCCCGAGCGCGGCAACGTCGCGTTCGCGTCGACCCAGATGGGCTGGTGCTTCACGCTCAAGTCGTTCGCAAAGATGTACGCCGACACGTACGGCCCCATGGACCTCGACCAGTTCGCCGTCCGCCTCTGGGGCAACATCTACTACCACCCCGAGACGCGCAAGTTCTCGCGGCAGTCGGCGCCCGGAGCGAAGCGCGGCTTTGAGCACTTCATCATGGAGCCGCTGTACAAGTTGTACTCGCAGGTCATCGGCGAGGACACCGACAGCCTGCGCAAGACGCTCCACCAGCTCGGCATCCACTTCAAGCCGTCCGTCTACAAGATGGACGTCCGCCCGCTTCTCCGCCTCGTCCTCGCCCACTTCTTCGGCCCGCCTACCGGCTTCGTCGACATGATCGTCCAGCACGTGCCGAACCCTCAGCAGGGCGCGCGCGTCAAGGTCGAGTCGACCTACACCGGCGCGCTCGACTCGCCTCTTGGTCAAGCGCTCCTCAACTGCGACCCCGAGGGACCGCTTGCGATCCAGATCGTCAAGCTGTACCCGACGCCGGATGCAAGCGAGTTCCGCGCTTTTGGACGCGTGTTGAGCGGAACGGCGCAGGTCGGGCAGGAGGTCAAGGTCCTCGGCGAGGGGTACTCGCCCGAGGACGAGGAGGACATGGTCGTGCAGCAGATCGGAGGCATTTACGTCGGCGAGGCGCGGTACGACATCGAGACGGACGCGATGCCGGCAGGCAACTTTGTCCAGCTCTCGGGCGTCGACAACTCGATCTCAAAGACGGCGACGCTCATCGCCGCCGACTACGACGCTTCCGAGCTCCGCATCTTCCGCCCCATCGCCCACTTCACCCAGTCCGTCCTCAAAGTCTCGGTCGAGCCGCTGATGCCGTCCGAGCTGCCCAAGATGCTCGACGGTTTACGCAAGGTCAACAAGACGTACCCGCTGATCGAGACGCGCGTCGAAGAGTCGGGCGAGCACGTCCTCCTCGGAACAGGCGAGCTCTACCTCGACTGCGCCATGCACGACCTCCGCGTCATGTTTGCCGAGATCGAGATCAAGATCTCTGACCCGGTCGTGCGGTTCTGCGAGACGGTCGTCGAGACGAGTGCACTCAAGTGCTACGCCGACACGCCCAACAAGAAGTGAGTCGTCGCGAGATGTGGCCGAGCTGGACTTTCGCTGACTCTTCTCCTACCGCCGCGCAGGAACAAGATCACGATGATTGCCGAGCCGCTTGAGCGAGGGATTGCTGAAGACATCGAGACTGGCAAGATCTCGATCCGCCTGCCGCCTAAACAGCTCGGCCAGCACTTCCAGAACAAGTACGGCTGGGACTTGCTCGCGTCGCGCTCGATCTGGGCGTTCGGGCCGGACGACCAGGGACCTAACCTGCTCATGGACGACACGCTGCCGTCCGACGTTGACAAGAAGCTGCTGTACACGGTCAAGGAATCGATCAAGCAGGGCTTCCAGTGGGGTTGCCGAGAAGGACCGCTGTGCGACGAGCGTGCGTGGAGGCTCCTCCTTCCTCGTGTCGTCTCGAGCTGATTTCCCTGCGTGCACAGCGATCCGGAATGTCAAGTTCCGGCTGTTGGGTGCGGACTTGGCGCACGAGCCGATCTACCGAGGAGGAGGCCAGATCATCCCGACGGCGCGGCGAGTGTGCTACTCGAGTTTCCTGATGGCGACGCCGCGGTTGCAAGAGGTGAGCTCACCCTTAATGCTGCCGACGGCGGCGAATGAGCTCACGTCAGCCTGCTCGCAGCCCGTCTACTTCGTCGAGATCCAGGCGCCTCAAGATTGCGTGCCGGCGATCTACGAGATCCTCGCCCGCCGACGAGGGCATGTCACGAAGGACATCCCCAAACCCGGCTCGCCGCTGTTCACGGTCCAGGCGTACATTCCCGTCGTCGACGCAAACGGTTTCGAGACGGACTTGCGGAGTGCGTCACGTCGCCCTCGTCCTCTCTTGTTCGGCATGCTGACACGCTCCACCGCGCAGCACACACGCTCGGCCAGGCGTTCTGCGTCCAGACCTTTGACCACTGGTCGATCTGCCCAGGTGCGCCAGCTTCCCGCTCGAGTCTCGCTCCGTCCCCACTGACGGTCTTGTTCTGCAGGCGACCCTCTCGACAAGACGATCCAGCTGCGACCGCTCGAACCCGCACCTGCGCAAGCACTGGCGCGCGACTTTGTGCTCAAGACGCGGAGGCGGAAAGGTCTGAACGACCAGGTCAACGTCGCAAAGTTCCTCGAGGCGGTGCGTTGCGGTTGCTGCCATCTCTCACGCCCGCTTTTGTGCTGACTCGCATCATCGCCGCAGGAAATGGTGACGCTGCTCGCATCGACCGAGCACCTCGACTTGCTGTGATCGGGCGGATGGAGGCCGACGAGAGCACGTGTTGTAGGATGAGTGGGACGCAGGAGGCGCTGAAAGGACGGCGTACAGCCTGTCTAATGTATTCGTTCGCCCGCATCCGCCGCTGGGAGTCCTTCGGCGGAAGACTGGCGAGCCTCACCGGTGGCTCGCTTCTTTGGACCAGCGCTTCCCTCCATTCCTGCGTGTTCTTCGACCATCCAAGGCGCACGACGCAGCAGCGAAGCGCGAAAGCCCAACCCTCTCCCCATCTCCCCTCTTGTCCTCCTCCGCCTCGCTCGCTGTTCCCCCATGTCCCAGTTCGTTCTGCTCAGGCCCGCAAATGCTTGCTTCAATGTATTTGACTGCTAGACCTGCAGCTCGTCGCTCCCCGAGGGGCAGGAAGACGGAACGACGGTCGGAGGACTCGCTCGCGATGAAGGCGCGTTCTTCGTAACAAGGCTCGACGTGGCTGCAGCTGACGCTCAAGGCTTGCAGAACCGAACAACGAACCCGTCGGTCTCCCCTCCCTGCCCGACGAGCTCATTGCGCGCATCTACCGCTCCCACATCTTCGTTCCCAACTTGAACTACCCCGAGATCAACGTCGCCTACCAGTGGAGGCTCACCTGCATCAACCGGCGCATCTATCACCTTGCTCGCCCTCTCGCGTTCAACCACCTCGCAATCAACGACGCCGACTCCTGGATGCCCAGCTTGCTCGTCTTCCTCGCCGCGCAAGCTGTACCTCTTCCGTCAACTACCAGCTTACTCGTCCAGGTCGAGACTCAGACAATACCGCTCGTGATGGTCATGGCGCCGCGGCTCCTCCCGAACCTCACAACACTCGTTCTGGGCATTGGCTCGCAAGGCGAGGATGACCGCTACGTCCTGCCACGCTACGTCACGGACGTTCTTCCGCACTTTCAGCAGTTACAGCGGCTCCAAGTTGAGGACTTTGAGAGCTTGGAGGACGAGGACTTCGACATCTGCCGGCTGTCCAGCCTCAAGGATCTGATTCTCAAGCGGGGCGCTACTACCCAACTTTCGTTTCTGCGCCATGGAGCGGACCTTCCTCTCCGCTACTTGGAACTCCTGCCAATCGCCGCAGAGGACATACCGATCGACCTGGCGATACCGTGGGGTCACTTGCGCTCTTTAACCCTGATCCTCTACGGGGCTTCGGCGGCGTACACGGCCATACTGGACAAGCTGAAGCTGCATCTGACGACTCATGTGCGCCCTCCGATATCTGTATCCGCTCGTTAGCTGACGAGCGCTGGCGCACCGCGTTCAGCCCGACCGGCAACTCCCCTTACACTCCCTTGCCATCAACGCACCTTGGCAAGACCTTCTTGCATCCTCCGTCAAGCCCGAGCATCAAGACGTCGCCCCCTTCCTCGCCTTTCTCGAAGCTGCGCTTCGTCATTCGGCCATCATACGACTCAAGATAGACCACCTCACAATCTGGCCGCTCCGCAAGCCTCTCCTGCGATACAAGGCACTGCACAGGCTCCGACTCGACTTGTGTGATCCTACACCCGACGATGCAAAGGTGAGTCACCTTCCACGCGCCTTCTTCGTCCGCTCGCCCGCTTCGTACGCTGACCTTCCTTGCTCTGCAGCAACGAGATCGCCTGCCATTGACCGACATCTTCTACATCCTTCTCAACTTTCCATGCCTCCAGTACCTCTTCCTCGACGCTACATCCCTCCACGACTGCTTGGACGGGCATCACCTCCTCAAGCAACCAACCCTCGCCAATTCGCCTCACCTGCCGATCTTCGAGCCGACCCTGTCGGCACTCGTCCAATCCTTGCAGTCCACCACTGTCATCTCTTTCTCCTTTCGACCGATTGAACCTTTTGGACTCTTCACCCACCGCCAGTTGCGCTGGACGCGACGTTCACCCCAGGAACCATTCGTCTTCAGTCTGTGGACGCTGGGTTGCTAGTACCTCCTCGTCGCAATGGACTGCTCTCCTCAGCAACCTTTACGCTCACAGTGGCACCGCATGCGACATTTCAATGGAGAAGGCGCCGTTTGCCTCGTCCCGCATCTTCTTCAGCAGATCTGGATGAACCTGGCACAGCTAGAGTCTGCTTGGAGAGCCACAAGACGAAGGCGAGTGCGACACAGCCCTCCAGACGGCGAGTGACCCTTTGTCTCCGTCCGCAACCTCGCTTACACACCAACACCTCGCCATGACGCCGTACGTGCTCAACCCACTTCCAGAGGCCTTTCACTCATGCCCGGCCACCGCAGCTCGCCTACGAACGCGGAACGAACGGATCTCGGGATGGTGGGGACGTTGAGCGATGAAGGCGCGTTCCTCCTCGCAACGGCTTCTGCGGGAGCTGCGCTGACGCTGGTACACCGCAGAGACGACATCACAGCCGACTGGCTTCCTCTCCCTCCCCGACGAGCTCATCGCCCGCATCTACGCCTCGACCCTCGCCCTCGACATTCGCATCCTTCCGATGGAGAACCCGTTCGAGAAGTGGAAGACCGCCTTCGTCAACCGTCGCATCTACGAGATCGCCAAGCCCGTCTTTCTCAGTCACATCGCCGTTGACGACGCCGGCGATCCAGTGCCAATGGTTCTCGCCTTCCTCGCCAGACAAGCTGAGCCGCTCCGCACGACTTGCAGTCTCCATCTTGAGGTCGAGGTGCCTCTGCTTGTACTCGCCGCCGCCCTCGCGCCTCGTCTGTTCCCGAACCTTACCTCCCTCACATTCGTCTCTTCGCGCCACGACGACGGCGACGACCGCTTCATCCTCCCTCGCCAAGCCACCGAGATCATCCCGCACTTTCAGCAGCTGCGGCACCTCGATATCGAGTGTTACGATTCGCTGGCCGACGAGACCTTTACTTTGAGCCAACTTCCCTGCCTGCAATCGCTGCGGCTTAGGCGATCAACGACGAACGAACTTGGCATCCAGCTGCTGCGTAACACCACTGGCACGGCACTGTCCAAGTTGGAGATCTACTCGCAAGACACCCTCCCCGCGGAATTGTCCTTGCCCTGGGTGAAACTGTCCGCCCTAACTCTGCAGTTCTGGGACGAATACGCATGCTACAAAGCACTGCGGAAAGATCTTGAGCGCACGAAATCGGTGCGTCGAGTGATCTCTCGCAAATGCCGTAGAACTGACCAGTCATGTGCTTCTGCAGCATCGCGGTCAGTTTCCGCTTCGCATGCTCGACGTCAACGCGCCTTGGAAGGAGGTCAGCTTGAGTTCCGTCAAGGCCGAGCACCCGCATGTCAAGGCTTTCGTCGGCTTTCTCAAGGTTGTCTTTCGGCGAGCTCGCGTCTCGCGCCTCAAGATCGAAGGACTCACGTCTTGGCCGCCGCAACTCGAGCTGTTGCGGAACGAGGGCTCAAAAGGCTTGAGTTGCGATGGACTGGTCGGGAGACCCGCGGGGAGAAGACGCCAAACCCGGTAAGTTCCCTCAAACCTTGGCTCAGCTCGTACTGACGTTTCACCTTTGCAGCCTCGACGCGTTCTTCCCCTTCCTTCCCTTCATCATATCCTCTCCTGCTTTCCCAAGCTCGCGCACTTCGACCTCGACATTCGCTTTCTCCGCGAGTGTCTCGACGGCGACTGGCTTTACCGGAACGGAGACCCCGCCTCGCCTCTTGCCGACATCTTCGAGCCTAATCTCGCATCGCTTGTACGGTACCTACGCTCAACAACGATTGTCCACTTCGCCTTCCGTCCCTCGCGCATCCCGGACGACCCGGACGACAAAGTTCAGCTGCGGTGGACGCGGACGTCGCCCGATGCGGACTTTGTCTATTCGAAGTGGACGTGCAAGCACTAGTTGCGGCAAGCGCAATGCACCGTCTGCACGCAGTTGCAATGTCGCGAATGAGCCAGGCGGAAGATGCGGGTTGGGGCGGATCGAGCGAGCGACGCTTCTTTCTCGAACAGCTCTTGCCTCCGTCGGCTCCGACATGCTATCGTGCTGATGTCGCTGCATCTCTCTTTCTCGCATACTCGTCGACCGCCCCTGTCGCGCTCGCGCCTCCCGCGGATTCTCCCCGACGACGTCCTTCTCCTCTTCCCTCTTACTCGCACTCACGGCTTGGCAAGATGTCGCTGTACGTTCCTTTCCTTTCATGCAGGAGATCCGTGCATACGCACGACTCCTCGCAGGCCGGTCACTGCCGAGCGGGACGATACCGGCGAGGTCCGCGTTGCTCGAAGAGTCGAAGGTCAGGATTCCCTGCTGCCATTCTCAGAATATGAGCTGATGTAGAAGATGACAGGTGTCCCCTTGCCTTCCGTCGGCCTCCTTAACCTCCCGGACGAGCTGATCCTTCGGATCTACAACACACTCTTCGCCTCCTTTCCCAGCGATCGCGTGCCGGATTACGACCTCCGCCTTGCACGAGTGATGCTGAACTCCCGTCTCTTTCGTCTCGCCCGCATCGCCATCTTCCGCGAAGTCATCGTTCGGCCGCGCGCACCGAGCAATGTTCCAGCCGTCCTCACCTTCCTCGCACGCCAAAGCCGGCCTCTCGACGGGACGCATACTCTGCGCATTCAGATCCAGCCTCTCACCACCCCGCTCCTCGCCGCGATGATGCCACGATTGTTCCCGCAACTCGCCTTAATCGACTTGACTTCCGCCAGTCCGCGGTCTATCCTCCCGCGCTACCTCACAACGGCACTGTCGTGTTGCCCAAATCTGAAGGTTCTCTGTCTCCTCGGCTTTGACGGACTCCGCGACACCTCCTTTGATCTGCGAAAATTGCCAGCACTCCGGGCCTTGGTGGTGACGGATGCGCCGGGAGTTGTCAAACAATTGCTACAATCCGGCAGTTCAGCACTCAAAACACTCGAGCTCCTCACCTTGCGCCGACCCCTCCTCGCCCAGAGCACACTACCGTGGCAGACTGTGCGGGTACTGGTTCTGCAGTTCCCGGACGACGACATGGACGACGACGTCGACCTCGTGCGCGCGAGCGTTGAGAGCAATCTTACACAGTTCGTCGGCACCTTGGTACGTGATTCCAGCAGCACCTGCTCGGATTGAGCTGACTAGACTTTGCAGCAAGAACCGACGCATCTGTTGGCCTTGGAGCGGCTGGAGGTCACCATTCCGCTGCCCGCCGCTGTCGCCAGCAGCTCTGCTCCGACTCAGCACACACTCGTTGTTCGCTTCTGGCAGACCGTCAGAGTTCTCCTCGACAAGTCTCAGCTCTGGTCGTTGCACATCGACGGCGTGACGGGCTGGCCGGACGCATTCCCGTCAATCCGGCACGAGCATCTGGACACGTTAACGGTGACGTGGTATGATGCAGCAGGAGCGCAGGTGCGCTCACTTCCGGTGTGTCTGATTTGTGCTGACCCTTAAGGCTTACAGCCGAGGTCACGACTACCGCTAGCGGACTTGCATCGGCTGCTCTCCGGCTTTCCGAACCTTCAGCAATTCACTCTTCAAACGCACAACATGGGCGGCCTCCAAGACGGGCTGTGGATGCTCGCAAACGAGGACGACCTCCCAGCGCCCGCAGAATTCGCCATCTTCGACTCCAACCTCTGCGCGCTAGTTCAGTACATATCCTGTACGACTATCTGCAACTGCACATTGCGGCGAGTCGCGGCGGGCGTGGACGGGACGCGACAACTACGGTGGACTCGCTCGTCGCAGGAGGAGAGTGGGTTCACGTTCACGAAGAGGACCCGGTAGCTTGCGCGTCTTGTGTAACCCTCGATCCCATCGCTCTCGTCACTTCTGCCAGTGAGCTGCGAGCAAACGTAGCGTCGCCGCCTGCTTAGGAAGGTCCTCGCGTTGCTTCCTCCTGCGCTCACGCACTCGTTCGACTCTTCCGTGAAGCCGTATGCGGTTGAATGCATCCCAAATACCCAAATACCCAAACCGAGCCTCTACCCGTCGCGTCTACCTGCTCGTCCTCCTTCCAGACCGACTCTCGCACCTCATCAGAGCGTATACCGGAACCTCTTGTTCTCGCGATCCGTCAAGTCCTCACGCTCGATCCGCTCTTGCTCTTCGTCCGAGACGACGCTGCTCGCGCACGAGTCGTCAACCTTTTCGGGGTCGGAAGAGGTGGGCGCGGAAGAGGTGGTGGACTGGCGGAGGCGGTTCTCGCGCGCGAGGATGAAGCGGAGGAGGAGCGAGAAGACTGGCGACGGCGAGCGAGCGTTAGTGGTCTTTCTAGCGGTCGAGGAAGTAGGAACGAAACGCACGCATGACAATCCCGAGCGAAACGTAGAGCGCGATCCAAGTCGAGCGGAACTTGACGGGCTTCTCGCTAATGAAGACGGTGTAGGGCGCCACGATGTTGCCGACGCAGTAGCCGACGAAGATGGCGCCCGAGGTGATGGCCTTCTTGGTCGAGCCGGCGACGTTGGAGGCGGCGAGGGCGAGAAGGAGGACGTAGGCTGTGCGGGGAGGCATGAACCGTCAGCTCAATCCGAAGACGAGCCTGGAGAAAGCACGTAGGCAAAAGCGAGACTTACGGGAGCCGAAAGTCGCGAGGAGGTAGCTGCGGGAGAACGAGAACGGGGTCAGCCGAACTGCACAGTGCCGTCTATCGCCGCTAGTCCTTCACCAAGACTGCACGGCGAATGCGAAAGCGCAGCCGACTCACTTTCCGAACAACGGCACACCCGGGTGCTTCCAGCTCGCTCCATGAATGATCGCCGCGCCGACGATGACGGGAATGCACGAGATGGGCAGGAGTATGGTGAGCGAGTTGGGAAACTTGTGTGAGAGGAAGGTGAAGAAGTAGATGAAGCTGCGGGAGAGGCGTCGTATCAGCGCGGGAGAGCGGGAGAGGAGGAGGAGGGGAAGGAGACGCACACGGCGGTGAAGATGCCGGCCGGGACGCCGCTGCGAGCGCGAAAGCGAGTCAGCGAGACTGCAAGACGGCGAGAAGGGCGAGGAGACGCACAGCGCGATAGCCTGCAAGCTCGAGTACGACCCGAGACTCTTGATGATCTGGCTTGCGAAGGCTGCAGTTGCAGGAGTAGCTCGTCAGCGTGAAGCGGATGAACGAAGTAGGAAGGGAGACGGACCTGTGACCGCACCGTTGCACTGCGAGGAGAAGTCGCAAAGTCAGCTTGCGAAGAGTGAAGCGGAGAAAGGAGGATTTACGATGTAAATGCCGGCTCCCATAAGCGCAAAGATGTAGATCTTGATGTCACACGCCGCCTCCTTGACCTGCTTCCAGTCCCAAGCTCCGCCAAACCCAATTCGTCCGCCCATATTCGATCTCGTCCTCCTCACAAGCACCGCTCGTTCCTGCTCGCTGAAGAAGCGATTGGGTGTCGAAGGCGAGGAAGGGAGGACGAAGAGGAGGAGCGAGGAGGCGAGGATCGTCAGGCAGCCGGCGAAGAGGTATTGGCGCTTCCAGGCGGGGTAGGAGCCGTGTGCGGAGCCGAGGCCAAAGTTGACGAGGCCGCTGAAGCTGCTCCAGATGCCTGTCGCGCTGTACCACTGCGCGCGAAGGTGGTCAGCGACGCGGAAGGGCGGAGGAGACGTGGGAGGGACGCACGATTCCGAGACGGGTCGCCTGCTCCGACCGCTTGTACCACATCGTCGTGAGGAGGACGAAGCCGGGGCTGACGGACGACTCGAGGACGCCGAGAAAGACGCGCTGGACGACGAGGCCTTGGTAGGACGTGCAGACCACCGTGAGGCAGACTACAACGCCCCAGAGCAAGACAAGGACGCCGAGGGTCTTGACGGCGTTGACGCGCTTCAGAAGCAGCGCGAATGGAAGAACGGCGGCGATGTAGCCCCAGTAGAAACTGGAGCTAGCTGTCGAGTATCTGAGGGTAGAAACAATCTTCTTTCCCGTCGCCGGGTCGATGTGGGTTGTTGAGAGGTGGAGATCGGGGATTATGCCAAAGATGGCCGCCGAGTTGAGGACGGCCTGCTTAGGGATCCATGTCAGCGACGAGAAGGCGGCAGAAGGAGAACCCGATGCGAGGCGGAACGAAAAGGCGGAGGAGGAATGGGAGGCAAAGTTCACCTTGTCTGCGAACGGTTCGATCCGAAGTCAGCGGGAACCCCCCAAAACGTCTCCAATGCTGAGAAGGGAGCTTACCGTAGTACTGCAATCCGACAATGATGAGGAGGATGGGCATCATGAGAAAGTCGAGTTTCCGGAGGAGCTTCTTCTCGTCGACCGCTGCAATCGCCGCCGCCTCCTGGTCGCTCTTCTCTACGACCGCAGGAGTGTCTGCTGGCGTCGCATGTTGCGCGTCTGGTGGCGGGAGCATCGTCTTCGAGATCCGAGTCGGAGTCGAGCGGGGGAAGGGTAGGGACCGAGGAAGAGCGACTGAGGAGGCCGCCGCTGACGTCGAGGCTGTAGCTGGCCTGGCTGGCAGTCTCTCTAGCAAGCGAGCAGAGCGGAAGAGGGCGACGAGCGCACGGGAGCGGGACGAGGAGATGAACTCTCTGGGGAAATTTGAATCAAGCCTGGCGAATACAAACGTATTTGTATTGGACTGATTACCCTCGAACTGAATACAAACTGATTACAACCGAGTTTGTATTCGACGTCAATACAACTCATCTCATCTTGCCTCTCGCTCAACCGCACCGGCAACGATGGCGGCGCTGTTCTCGAAGTGCGTAGAACCCTGAGCAGTGCATTCGACTTGCTGACTGACCACCGCTGCCCGCCCGCGCAGTCTCCCGGCGCCACTCCACTCGGCGGCCGACGACACCCCGTCCTCGTCCACGCTCGACCAGCAGCAGCAGGTGCAGCGTGATCCGGGCCAGCAACTTGCTGTCCAACCACTCGTACCGCCCTACGGCCAGCGCAAGGGGTGGAAGCCAAAGAGCCAGCAGGACTTTGGAGATGGTGGAGCGTACCCGGAGTGCCATGTCGCGCAGTACCCGCTCGAGCTGGGAAGGAAGAGGGTGAGTGGGCGCATGGCCACCGTCTCGTGGTGGTTGATTCCGCTGGAGCGCGAGCCGGTGGGACTAACGTGCTTCGCCTCCTCGTCGCAGACTGCTGCCGGCAACACCCTCGCCCTGCAGGTCAACGCCGACGGAAATGTCAACTACGGTGCTATCGGTACGTCCCAGGTCTGCCCGGACGCGCATTCGTTCGAAGCTGATCAGCGAGACTCCGCAGCTACGCAAGGCCAGCGCGAAGGCGTCCACATCCAGACCTCCTTCAAGGACCTTGTCCCGATGTCACAGCGCACCGACGTCTCGAAGGACGTCCTCGCGATGGAGCGACCATCGGAAGATGAAGTCCAGGCGACGGCTGACCGCACCCGCGCCGCGCTCGAGAAGCTCGTCAGTGGGAAAATCAAGGCTGCTCAGCCGAAGAATGTTGAGAAGCGCGGTGGGGACGTGCAGTACATGCGGTATACGCCGCAGCAGGGTGGGGCGGAGAAGCAGAAGATCATTAAGATGGTGCGTCGCGGTCGTTCGCTTCGAGTCTTTTCTCCGATAGCTCCCTGCTGCTCTCTCCGAGCTGACTCTTTCCCTTTCGCTTCCGCGCGCACAGATGGAAGTCGTCGAAGACCCCCTTGAGCCGCCCCGCTTCAAAGGCAAGAAAGTCCCTCGCGGTCCTCCCTCTCCCCCTCCTCCCGTCCTCCGCTCTCCTCCTCGCAAAGTCACGGCGCAAGAGCAGAAGGAGTGGATGATCCCGCCTTGCGTGTCGAACTGGAAGAACAACAAGGGTTACACAATCCCGCTTGATAAGCGGTTGGCGGCGGATGGAAGGGGGTTGCAGGATGTGCGTCGCCTTTCGTTTGCTCTCTACCGCGACGTACAGCAGAATACTAAGGTTCGGTCTTGGCGCGATGCACACAGGTCTACATCAACGACCGCTTCGCCCAGTTCTCCGAAGCGCTCTACGTCGCCGACCGTCACGCACGCGAAGAAGTCCGCCAGCGCGCCCTGATGCAGCAAAAGATTGCGCAGAAGGAGAAAGAGGCAAAGGAGGAGAACCTCAGGATGCTTGCGATGCGCGCGAGGGAGGAACGGAGCGGTGTGCATGTGGTTGGCTCTGGAGCTGCTGCGGCGAGGGTCGGTGGAAGTCTTGGAACGGCGATTGCGGGGTATGGGAGCGACGACGAGTCGGAAGACGAAGAGGCGGATGCGATCGCTCGTGGTGCGCAGGGCCAGCGGGCGGCGAGTACCGTCGATGGTGGGTCGGACGAGGAGGATGTCGCGCGCGATGAGGGCGAGACGGAGGAGGACAGGCGTGCGGCGAGGGAGCGCGAGGAGATGAGGCGCGAGAGGAGGAAGGAGCGCGAGAGGGAGTTGAGGATGAGCAATATGGGTCAGGAGCAGCGCGCAAAGGTCCTCGCCAAGTGCGCCCCCTCCCCTCGACTGATCATCTTCGCGATGCTGACGACGCTACTCCCACAGGGCCACGGGCCGCGACATTTCGGAGAAGATCGCACTCGGTCTCGCCAAGCCGACCATGTCGAAAGACTCGATGCTCGACGCGCGCCTGTTCAACCGCGAGCAGTACTCCGCCTCGTTCGGCGGCGAAGACTCGTACAACCTCTACGACAAGCCGCTCTTCAGCGGGTCGAGCGCCGCGGCGGCTATCTACAAGCCGCGCGGACGGAACGTCGACGACGAGGGCTACGAGGTCCATGGTCAGGAGGTCGAGAAGGCGATGAAGAACGACCGGTTTGGGCTGGGTGTCGCTGGCAAGGGTCGCGGATTCGAGGGTGCCGACACGAGCGAGATCCGCGAGGGGTGCGTCCGCCTGTTCCTCCGACTCGTCTTCGCCGCTGACAACCCTTCCTTTCCACAGCCCTGTCGCCTTCGAGCGCGACACGGCCGACCCGTTCGGCGTGGACGCCTTCCTCGAGTCGGCCAAGCAGGGAGCGTCAGGCTCGGGCGAGAAGAAGCGCGGGCTCGACACGGGCGACGACGGCGGTCGCAAGCGGGCGCGCGACGACTGAGCTGAGCTGTATCACCTGGTCTGTGCTGCCATTCTATTCGACTTTGGATTTGTCTGTTCTGTGAGCGCGCGAAGTTGCGAGTCACGTGCGGTGAAAGCGACTCGACTTCGCCTCCTCGCTCGCTCGCCCTTCCTCACGCACTCGCTCACCGCTGGGCAGACTCTCGAGTGCATCGCAACTGTGCTAGAGCGTCCTGAGCACCGCTGCCGAGCCCTGCCAGCTTCCCACGGCGCGCAACGATGCCGTACCAACCTCTCGAAACTGGTCGCTCAACATACCCCGCCTACCCCTCGTCAGCCCCTTCGTACGACTCGCCCGACGCAGGAGGGATTCGACCAGTCTCGTATAACGACGCCTACGACGACGCAGCGTTCATCGGCGACGAGGGAGCGGGAGGAGCGAGGCCGCCTTCGTTTCACTCGCACGACGGGGAGCGGGTCAGCGGGATGAACGGTGGAGCAGGCGTGTACCTGGGCGAGGCCTACGACTCGGGCATCATCTACGACAGCGTCCCTCAGACCGAACCGCTCAACCTCCGCAGTCCTCCTCCAGCTCCTGCCGCACGACGAAGCGTCTACGAACCCGACCTCGACTTGCACCTCGACAGTCGCGGCGCAACTCCGCAGTATCCTCGACGACGAGGAGCCGCACGCGACGAGCGAGACTGGGAGGAGGACGTGAAGAACCCGGAGGACTTTGAGGACAGCTTCGAGGCGGGTGAGGGGGACGACTCGCGCTTGGACGAGTATGGCGGACACGGTGCAGCCGGAGAGGGTCAGGAAGAGGACGATGGACTGCACAGCCCGGCGATCAGCTTCAAGGGCGGATTCGGCGCTCCTCCGCAAGTGAGTTCAGCTGTTGCGGCTGTCACTGTCTTGTCCTGTGTCCGCGGGATGCGACACTGACTGCTCTGCTTGATGTATCCATAGACTGCACACACTCGCCGCAGGAACGTCCAGCAGCGCCGCGTCAAGCTCACCGAGGGCAACCTCGTCGTCCCCTGCTCGATCCCCTCCCGTCTCCTCAGTTTCCTCCCTCGCAAAGATTCGGACGAGTTTGTCACGACTCGGTACACGGCGGTGACCTGCGGGCCAGACGAATTCAACGACAAGAGCTACACGCTCCGCCCGACGCTCTACAACCGCCAGACCGAGTTGTTCGTCGTCATCACGATGTACAACGAAGACGAGGAGCTCTTCTGCCGCACTCTCCACGGTGTTATGAGTATGTACAGGCGTCCTATTCGTTCGACTCGTCCGGCTCGTCGCCGCTCGAGGCGCTGACGTCTTTCCCGCTTCCGCAGAGAACGTCGCGCAACTCTGCAAGCGGAAGAAGTCGGCCACCTGGGGTCCAGAAGGCTGGAAGAAGATCGTCGTTTGCATCGTCGCAGACGGTCGCAAAGCGGTTCACCCGCGCGTGCTCGACTGGTTCGTCTCCTCTCTCTCGCTCACTGCGCCTCGCCTCGCTGACATGACCTGCCGATAGCCTCTCCGCTCTCGGCGTCTACCAACCGAGCGTCATGACGAACGCTATCGACAACCAGCCTGTCGCATGCCACCTCTTCGAGAACACGATCCAGATGAGCATAGCGCCTGACTTGACCTTCCGTGGGCTCGAGAAGGGCATCATGCCTTGCCAGGTCATGTACGTCGAGCCCTCATTTGTGTCGTGATCAGCTCAGGACACCGCTGACTCTCGACGCCTCTGCGCCGCCGCAGGTTCGCGTTGAAAGAGAAGAAGTGCGTGAACCTCGCCTATTTCCCGCTTTCTCGCTTACTCACAGATGTCGACTGACTCACCCTGTACTTGCAGCGCCAAGAAGATCAATTCGCATCGCTGGGCGCTGCAAGCCTTCGCGCCGCAGCTCGACCCTCGCGTTGTTGTTCTCCTCGATGTCGGTACGAAGCCGGCCGCTGGGTCGCTGTACAAGTTGTGGAAGGCGTTTGACGTGCGTCTCATGTCTCTCGCATCGCTCTCTGACGCTCGGTGACTGACATCGCCCGCGATACAGATGAACTCGTTCGTCACCTGCTCAAATTGTCTTCGCTAGCAGCACTTTCCCCTGACGACTTCCCCGCTCGACTACTCGCAGAAACGTCGGCGGAGCCTGCGGCGAGATCGTCGCGATGAAGGGCAAGTTCTGGCTCGGTTTGCTCAAGTGCGTCCTCCCGCTCCGCCTTCCTCGAACGAGTATGCTAACTTCGCTCGCTCGCCGGCGCAGCCCGCTCGTCGCGGCGCAGAACTTTGAGTACAAGATCTCCAGTGCGTCGCTTGATCCTTCCCGTTTTCCGCAGGATGCCGCTGACACGCTCGTCGTCGCTCGCTCAGACATCCTCGACAAGCCGCTCGAGAGCATCTGCGGCTACATCAGCGTCCTTCCCGGCGCCTTCTCAGCCTGTGAGTCTGCCTCAGATTGAGTCATACGAAGGAGAATCCGACGTTTCCTCCGGCGCAGACCGCTACATCGCGCTCAAGAACGACGAATTGGGCCACGGACCGCTCGCTAGCTACTTCAAGGGCGAGCATCTCGCCGGCGTAGATGCTTCGCTCACAACGTCGAACATGTGCGTCTCGACAAGCTTCCTCTCCTCGCGCCTTGATCCTTCCTCTGCTCCCGCCGGGACTGATCCTTCCTCATCGCTCGGCGACAGGTACCTCGCCGAGGACCGCATCCTGTGCTGGGAGCTCGTCGCGAAGCGCGGCGATGCCTGGGTCCTCAAGTTTGTCAAGTCGGCCAAGGGCGAGACGGACGTCCCGGATCAGGTCGCCGAGTTTATCGGACAGCGCCGTCGCTGGCTGAACGGCTCATTCTTCGCCGGCGTTTACGCCCTCATGCACACCTTCCAGCTCTTCCAGACGACTCATTCGCGCAAGAAGATCATCTTCCTCCTCGGCCAAGCCATCTACAACTTTATTAACGTCCTCTTCGCGTGGCTCGGGCTCTCGAGCTACTGGATCTTCTTCATGGTGCGCACGGCCGTTCGACATCGAGAAGCGCGCTGAGGGCGACTTCTCCCGCAGGTCCTCACGAAGTCGCTCGAAGACCCGACTTTCCACCTTAAGGGCGTGAGCGTCGTCAATGTCTTTATGCAGTACGCGTACAGTGCGTCGATGCTGTCGCTCCCTTGCTCGCCTGCTTAGCGCTGACGAAACGTCGCGCAGTCGGCGCCGTCATCGCCTGCTTCCTCATGTCCATGGGCAACCGGCCGAAGGCAGCGCGTTGGAAGTACCTCGGTGTCGTGAGTTCAAGCTCGCTTCGCAATTCCTCATCGAGCCCAACTGACGCTTGGAATGCCGCAGATGATCGTCTTTTCGCTCACGACCGCGTACATGATTGGCGCCGCCGTCTTCTGCGTCTACCAAGCGGTCAAGCAGTCTGCGGACAGCCTCATCATGGCGCAGATCTGCATCTCGCTCGCTTCGACCTGTTCGTCGCGCTCTTTTCTCCCTTCCAACCACGGGATTGACGCTCGTTCGCCGCAGATGGCTGCTACCTTGTCGCCAGTCTCATTGCAGGCGATCCCTGGGTGCGTGTCGCTTCGATCTTTTCGCCGGCAGTATAAGTCGCTGACGACAGGCTTCCCTCGCAGCACATGGTCACCTCGCTTCTCCAGTATCTCCTCCTCGCGCCGTCGTACAGTGCGTCCGCAACTTAAGCTTCCCTAGCCCTTCGCTGACCCTCTGCGCTATCCTTCAGTCAACCTGCTCAACATTTACGCCTTCGCCAACCTCCACGACTTCAGCTGGGGAACGAAGGAGCAGACGACGTCCGAGATTGATCTCGGCATCACGAAGAAGGTTAACCAGAACGAGGTCGACATGGCGTTGCCGGCGGATCAGTCGGACATTGGTGCGTCGATGCTCACCCTGCTTCGCCAGTTTCGCGTCGCTCACTCGTTCCCCCGCAGACATCCTGTACGACCGCTCGCTGCACAACCTCAAGACGCGACCGATGATCATCCCGCCGCCTCTCTCGGACAAGGCGAAGACCGAAGCCGTCATGGACCGCTATCAGAGCATCCGCACCAACATCCTCCTCTCTTGGGTTCTCTCGAACGCCGTCCTCATCGCGACCATCCTCAACGGTGATTACAGCGGCAGCTTCAGCTCGAGCAGCGGCAACACTCGAGCGAAAGTCTGTGCGTTGAGTTTCCGCCAGCTTGCATCCGCCTCGCTGACTCCGTCCGCGTGCAGACCTCGTCGTCGTCCTCATCTGCGTCGCCATCCTCTCGCTCATCCGCTTCCTCGGATCGACCGCCTACGTCGTCGACGGCTACGTCCGCTTCATCGGCCACCAGGTCCAGCGCCGCCTCTTCGCTCGCCGCCAAGTCAGCCAGCAGAACCACCTCCGCCGCCGTCCCGTCCTCAGCGAAGCTGGAACGGAGATCAAGAGCGAGAAGGGGGTTGTGCCGGCGGAAGACTCGGCGAGCAGCTACGTCGAGTCGAGCGGGTCGTCGTCAGTCGTCGACGGACCGAGGCCGGACGGAGCATGGTTCGCGAGGCGTTGAGGCGGGTTTCGTTGTATCTTCCTTTCTCGCTCGCGACTTCGAGCCTTCTCGCTCAGCAGTGTCATGTCTATTACCTCTTCGCATTTCTCCCATCGTCGCATCTTGCAACTCTGCGCGCTTTACGCCTCATCGAACGTGTACAGCTCGCACTGCCAATCCCGCCCGCCGTCGTCCTCGTCATTTCTCATCGGTCTCGAGGAGTACTCGAGCGAAGAAGCTACCAGCCAGCAAATAGAGAGCTTTGACGCTTTACAGACGTCTGTGGACGACGACGACCCAAAGACACGGCAGGAGACACTCGTTCATATTGCTACCAGGTTTCCAGCTCGTACTGCTCGCAACTCCATTCCGTTTCCTCCGGTTCCCTGGTCCACCGCACCTCGCGGGAGTAACGGTCCTCGTGAATCCGGATCTCTGTAACCTCGGTCTGACATGCCAAGAGATACAGCAACGCGAAGAAGGTGGGAAAGTCGCGCGCGCACTCCAGGTTGTCGACAGCCTGGTAGGGCCACGGATTACTGTCCTCGGCCTTCTCCACGTCGAGTCGGCGAAGATTTGGGAAGAAAGACAGGATGGTCGGCAAGTCGCCCAGTGCCGTCTGCAGGTGGGAAGGTCAGGACGGAGGCGAACGTGGAAGCCACGGCCCGCACTCACACGTTGCCATTCGTCGCCCTCGACGGTATATTCGAGCTCGTGAAGAGCAAGCCATTCGACCGATGGGAGGCTCAGCGCTTCTTCGTCGGCGAGGATGAGAGGAAGGCGTTGCAATGCAAGCTCCTCGACATCGGTCTGTGCGAGTGACGAGAGAACCTTGACAAGCTCGACGTGGCTGAATCCATCTTGTGGACGTTTTGCAAGGGGAAAGTCGAGAGTGAGACGCCGAAGGGGAAGACGAGACGGCGTATTCTGCAAACTGGGCGTCAGCCTGGCCTGCGACGCGATGTATTGTAAAGAGAACAGCTGACCGCTGTGCAGGCGGCATCAAGCCCGTCTAAAAAGTCCTCGACACCCGCCTGCAAGCTCGGCTCCGATCGTACCGCAAGTTCCCGCAAGGTCCGCCAGGGGAGGGTATCGTCCAGGGCAAATCGCTCGTTGACCTTGACATCGAGCGTCTCAAGCTGGCCTAAGCCAATGACTGCATCACGCGGATTGCCTTCTGCATAAACAGACCACTCCCATCGCGAGACCACGAGTCGTCGAACGGATCCTGCGAGTCTCAGGTCGAGCGGCTCTTCCGCATCCGCATCCCGATACGAAAGGTTGCCTCCCAAGAGCTCGAGACTGACGAGGTGCGAGAGGCTCGACAGACCCATGAGGATCTCGGGTGACAGGGTGTTGAAGACGATTTCGAGTGTGCGAATGTTGGTGAAGCCGGCGAGGGAGACGAACGGGAGTCTGGCCGTGCCGTATAATGCTATAGCGAGATCGACAACCGAGCAACGGGATTCCCGATCGGCTAGGATGCGTGCGAGCCTGACGCCATCGTCGTCGTGCGGGATGGTTACGCGCAAGACGGATGGACGACAAATCCGGCGGATGCGTCGGTTGAGCCTGACGGGATTGAGCATGTCGATGTCCTGCCTCGATGCTCCTTTCGGTCGTGGTAGCCAGAGGCGTTTGTCCCGCGTGGTGAACTCGAAGATGCGGGCGAGGAGTTCGTCGGGGAGGTCGAGGAGGCTCGTAGGCGATTCTGCGCGCGCCTGAGGTCAGCGCCATCGGACTCAATTCAGTGCGTTCGTGCTCACTGGCTGGAGCTGGCGACATCGCAGCGTCCGCTTCTTCCGTCGAGGTGGACATGGTGAAGCTGAAAGCGAGGGAAGCGCCCGTCAGCGCGAATGATAAGCCAGGCTAGGAGGTGGGTGTGCGCACCTGTTGACAAGCTCTAGACAGCGCAAGGGCGAGGACAGCGACAGCGAAGCGAGACGTCGTCGCCAAACCTTTCGCGACGCGACTTGCGATTTGCGACCCGACCTCAAGCTCGCCGACCGCTCTGAGAGATTCTCGGACGTCTGCCAGCTACGCAAACGATGCTATCGATGACTGGGACGCGTAGACGCCGCGCCAGTCCTTCCGCACCTCGCCTGCTCGTCTTCGCCATTCTCATCAGTTGTTGAACACGGTTGCTCGTACGGCGAACGAGACCGGCGCAGTGGCTATTCAGAGCATTGCAGTGTGGCCACTTGACCAGGAGGAGGAGGCTGGCCCGCTGAACGAGCCGCCGTGATGGCGGATTCTCCGTCCTCTCCGCTCTCCGCTGGCTGCCCCGGATCTACGCACAGACCGGCTGCGAACAAGCACGCCGAGGCTGGCTTGGCGGCTCTTCCTCTTCTCTTCCTCACTCGATACCCGTGTACGACACCCACCGCCATGTCCTGTGAGTCTGGCTCGACCGCACTGTGCACCGTCTCCTCGTCCTGCTCTCGCGCTCGACGACGCTTCGGCCGGCACAGCCTCGACGCTCTCCTCTCTCTCTCTTCACGCTGACATGAAGCGTACGCAGACCCGCAACCCCCTCCCAACGCCTACTACGGTCCGCCCCAGGGAGGCCCTCCCCAAGGCTTCTACGGCCAGGCTCAAACAGTGCGTACTTCTGTCGTTCCTCTCGACGCGCCACTTGATCAATCGTCCTTTCAGATGTACCCGCAGCAGCAGCCCATGGTCATCGTGCAGGAGAAGAGGGACGACGACGGATGCTGCGACGGATGCTGTGGCGGATGCTGCAAGTGTTGCGGGGTCTGCTGTGGAGGATGCTTGGCATGCTGTGCGCTGGAGGCGCTGTGCGACTGAGCGTGGACAGGGTAAGCGAAAGAGTGACGAGGGCAGGCGGACGGACACTACTCTCCTTTCCCCAGGTCCTGTACGATGCATCGCTGGTATACCCTCTTCATTCCGCCCAAGTCTACACTCTACCAAGGCTCCGGCCGACTGCACACCCGCTTCCCTTGCACCCAGACCGCCTTCCGATCCACCTCGCTCCCGTTGCAGAACCACTTCTCGAGCTTCTCCTCCGTCGAGACCCGCTTGACAACCCCGCCTTCCTCCTCCTCGACGTCGAACCAGTCCACTCGACTCCGCGGATGCCCAAGCTGGATCCACTGCGCGTCGAAAGCCGACCCGACTTCGAGCGCGCCGACCTTGCGCTCCTTGTCCAGCCCGAGAGCCTGCGCTCCGCCGAGCGTGGCAAGGTAGAGCGCCTCCTTCCACGAGATTGCCAAGCTGGCCGACCGCTCTTCCTGCCGCCGACTCTCTCGCAAGTCCCGCTGCCGCTCGCCCTCCCTCAACCGCGAGACCCCCACCGCCCAGCGCATGTTCTCGTCAATCCCGACGCGGTAGCCGCCCGAGATGTCTGATCCGAGCCCTACCTTGACGCCTGCGTTCCAAGCTTCTCGCAAGGGAAGCTGCCGCTCAGCTGAGAAGTAGACGTTCGAGAGCGGACAGCTGGCGATGGCGGTCCCGGTACGGGACAGGCGGGCGAGGTCATCGGCGGTAGAATGGGTGCAGTGCGCCATGAGAGAGCGGTCGTTGAGCAGGCCGAGCTGCAGGTGCGAAAGGTGAGCAGCGAAGACCGGAAATAACGTCCCGCTTGAACGCACCTGGTCAAGCAGCTCGACGTCGCTCTTGCCGCCCAGCATCTCGCGACAGACATCGACCATCCCCTGACTCTCGCACATATGCGACTGTATCCGCACGTTCTTCTCCTTCGCCAGGTCCGACAGTCCTTTCATGAGCTCGATCGAGCAAGTCGGGACGAAGCGAGGCGTCACGACAGGCTCGATGAGTCGTTGCTCGTCGGGGAGAGAGGCGACGAGCGAGTGCATCGACTCAATGAAGCGGCGGGTGTCGGCGAGGGAGGAGGCGGTCGTCTCGATGTAGGAAGGGAGCGAGTTCTGGTCCATGGCGACTTTGCCGATCTGGCCGCGGATGCCGGCGTCGAGGAAGGCTTTCGCGAGAGTAAGACTGCGAGGGAGAGAAGCAGAGCGAGCGGCAAGCCAGCGAGTGTCAGCGAAAGTAAGCTGCGAGGGAAAGAAGGGTTGCCCACTTTGCCTCGACCGAGATCGTGCCAAAGACGCTCGCAGCCGTCGTACCGTTCTCCAGCAAGCGCTGTACGAGCTTCTGGTAGACGCGCTGCGCGTAAGCCGGATCCTTGTCTATCCGCGACTCCGCGGCGAACGTATACGCTTCAAGCTGTGGGTTCAAGGGCGCGTCAGGCTGATGGCTTAACGTTGCCGTGGAGCTTCACTACGCACCCATTCCATCAGCGGCTTGTCCAGCGCCATACCAGCGTTAGGATACTGAGGAGCGTGAACTGAGGAAGCGAGAACAGCGAGGTCAGCTTCGGGCAACGCTTGGCTGGATTGAAAAGACTCACTGTGCGTGTCTACAAAGCCTGGCAGGGCCCAGCCGTCTCCCAGCTCGACCACCTTGTCCTGCCCCACCTTTCCCTCGCGAACGAGCGTGTCGACCTCATCCGCCAGCGCGCTGCCCGTGCTGTTGTCGATAGCAGCGATGAATCCCTTGCTGTCAATCACTGTGCGTCGCGAGCCGGGCGAGAGCGGAGTCAGCGCGATAGATAAGGCGGAGCGGAACGAGCGGGCGAACCGACGACGCAGTCCTCGCGGATGGAGAGCGAGCGGTCGGGCTGAGGCGAGACGAGCGTCCCTCGCAGTACGAGACTGATGTCAGCCAGGTCGAGCATGAGGTTGCGAAGCGGGAGAAGCGATTGGGAGGAGGAGAGAATGAGGCGGAGGAGGGCAAGTGGCAGTCATGGTCGCTCAGCGAAGAGCTAGCGAGCACCAGCACAAGGAGAAGCTCTCCCCCAAGCACCCAATGAGGGAGGGAAAGCGTTTTACATCTTGGGGCTCGCATCACGGCGTCTCCCCGACGACGATGACCAAACTTCTACTCTAGGCGAACTCCCGCTCCACCAAGTCACTACCACATCAAGCTGGTCATGCCGGCACGCATCCTGCGGGCAAATCAAAAGTCAGCGTCCGAAACGAGCGAGAGTCGAGGCAAGCGCAAGGAACGCACCTCGAGTAGTCGAGCAATCCCTCCACCCGTCCGACAGCCGCGACAGCGATGTCCTTGTCCCACAGGTACTTCTTCGCGCACCGCATGACGTCGGACGTCGTGACGGCGTCGACGGCCGCCTCGATCTCCTTCGGCGTGTTGCGGCGCCCGGTCGTGACGAGCTGGCGGCCAATGTCCTCGGCGACGGCGGTCGTGCCGTCGAGGCCGAGCAGGAGCGACGCCTTCAGCTGGGCCTTGGCGCGGGCGACCTGCGGATTAGAAGCGTCAGTGCCTGCACGCAAGATCCACGACCAGTCGCGCCCACCTCTCCGTCGGTCGGGTGGGTCGAGAGGCGGCACCACTCCTTCATCAAGAAATGAGTCAAGTCGTCGAGGTTGGTGACGTTCTCCGAGACGAGGTAGCATCCCCACAGGCCCGTGTCCGAGTACGACGTCGAGAACGACATGAACGAGTTGGCGAGGTTGTTCGAGCTGATGATGTGGCTCAGGCGACTCGAGAGGAGCGACTGCGCGCCGAGGGAGCGGTCCCAGTTGCCCATGATCGACTGCCGGGGAGGGCAAGAAAGGCGAGGCGAAGGGGAGGGCGCGGGAGCAGACACGTTTGCAAAGTCAGCCACGGCGCACACGAGACGAGGAGAAGGGCGGGGACCCGCCTGCATGACGAGCATGGTGTAGTAGTCGGGCGACTGCCAGCCGACACCCTCGACGGCGATGGCGACGTTGCAAGTCGGCATGGTGTCGTCACGAACGCGGACCTCGGATCCAATAAAGTCGGGCTTGGTCTTGGCGGACGACGCGCCGAGCTTGATGGGCTCGGGAGAGGACGAGAGCTGACCGAAGTGCTTGTTGGCGAGGTCGACGAGGGACGAGTGCTCGACGCCGCCGGTGCCGACGAGGACCATGCGGTCGGCCGTGTAGTTCTTCTTGATGTAGCTGGCGAGGTCGTCGCGCTGAATCGAGAGGATGTTCTCCTTGGGGCCGAGGATGGTGCGGCCGAGCGGCTGACCCTGGAAGGCGACGGCGTGGAGGTGGTCGAAGACGACCTCTTCGAGCTGCTTGTCGACCTCCTGCTGCTCACGGAGAATGACGTCGCGCTCGCGCTCGATCGCACCAGACTCGAGCTTGCTGCCGGTGAGGATGTCGGCGATGATCTCGACCGACTTGTTGACGTCGGACGCAAAGCTCTTGGCGTAGTAGACGGTCTGCTCGCGCGACGTGTAGGCGTTCAAGTGGGCACCGAGGTTCTCAACCTCGAGCTCGAGCTGGTGCTGCGAGCGCTTGCCGGTGCCCTTGAACGCCATGTGCTCGAGGAAGTGAGCGGTGCCGGACGTCTTGTCGGTCTCGGCGCGCGAGCCGGCATCGATCCAGACGCCGACGGTCGCGGTCGACGCAGACGGGGACGCCTCGGTCGCGACGGTGAGGCCGTTCGGGAGAGTCGAGATCTGGGTCAAGGGGGACGAGGCGTGGGTCGCGAGGGTGCGCTGGAACGGCGCCTGCGTCGGGGACAGTGTCAGCGCGGCGTCTCAAAACGATCCTGTGAAGCTGGACCAGGCCCGCCCAGTCCACACGACCGCGCGATCCCACCGCCAGAAGGTGAGCGACGAGACTCGGCAGCCACAACTCGACGACGACAGCGAGCGGGGCCGCCCAACTTGTCCAGTGCGCCCAATGCCCCCTGCAGTGCCTTCTTCCGCCATTCGTACTGTCCCGCGAGCCGTGTGCGGCAAGCTGTGCCCGCCCTCGCCTGCGCTGGTGGGTGCTGACGGCCGCCGAGTCCTCGCCGCCCTCCCACCGCACCTGGCTGCCTCGCGCAAAGCCCAGTCCTCCTGAGTCGTCCCACACAGTCCATCCATGACCCTGTCACCCTCCCAGCGAGTGTGCGCGGTGCGATGTCGCCGTTCGCCGATTGGGCCCGGCGTGGTTTGCCCCTCGAGTGCGTCGGCGCGGCCTCGCTGGGCGTGTTTGACGGTGCGAGTGAGCTTACGGGTGCGCGGCGAGCAGTCCTGAGCAAGTTCCTCGCGAGCATCGTGACGAGCAGCAGCGGTGAGCGAGGGAGAGCAAGCGAGAGCAAGTCTGTCCAGAACAGCAACGTCGACTGCCTCGCTTTCGCTCGCTCTACGACACGATGAAGTGCGCTGAACTGCTCACAGCGACTAGACGACCCCGCCTGTCCAACAGCTGACCCTCGAGGTGCCCTCGTTCGTCCTCACAGCTTCACCGCAGGACGAGACCCGCACAGCGACCCGCTCAACCTCGAGAACGTGCGTACGGGTGCTCACTGTGACGACGACGACGCTGACGAGGTACTCCGCCATCCCCGCAGATCCGCCGCACGCTCGTCCGACTCGAGGACACCATCATCTTCCGTCCGCTATCTCCCTCGCTCAACCTCTCCCTCACGCCGTGCTGATCCGTATGGACGCGCACAGTACTGATCGAGCGCGCGCAATTTGCACACAACCCGCGCATGTACACGAAGGATGGGTTCGCCGACGTCTTGCACCGCGACGGCTTCGAGGGCAGTTGGCTCGAGTGGTTGCTCAGGGAGACAGAGGTCAGCCATGGTGCGTCCGCGGCGTCGCTTTGTGATCGTGTACTTCCTGGTTGACCCGCTGGACTTGTTGTACAGCCAAGATCCGCCGCTATGACAGGTGAGTTTCCGCATATCGGCCCTTTCAGATCTCGTCACTCTCCTCGAGCGCCATTTCCGCTCGAGGAACTGACGCTCATTCTTCACTCGCACGCAGCCCCGACGAACACCCCTTCACCCCTCGCTCTCAACTCCCCGACCCGATCCTCCCTCCTCTTTCCTACCCTCCCTTGCTACACGACCCCACCTCCCTCAACGTGAACCCTCAAATCCTCTCTTTCTACATCAATTCCATCGTTCCAGCTATCACGCGCACGGTCACGGAGAGGCTGGGCAAGGAGAACGACGATGGGAATTATGGGAGTGCCGGGACGAGGGATATCGAGTGTTTGCAGGCTATCTCGAGGAGGATCCACTGCGGTGCGCTCTAACTTCTCTCCACATCCTTTTCTGATACGCTTGGACTGACAGCAACCCGCGCGATAGGCATGTTCGTCTCGGAATCCAAGTTCCTCTCCTCCCCCTCCTCCTTCATCCCCCACATCCTCACCCCCAATCCCTCCGCCCTCGAATCCCTCATCACCAAACCCGCAGTCGAAGCCGCCCTCCTCGCTCGGCTCGAGAAGAAAGCGCGGTGGTACGGTGCCGAACTTGGGCCGGACGGAGAGCCCGAGGAGAAGAGCGGAAGGAAGGTCAGGCCCGAAGAGGTCGTCAGGTTGTATAGGGAGTATATCATCCCGCTCACGAAGGAGGTCGAGGTGCGTTCGGCGTTTCCTCTCTCTCACGGGCTCTAGAGACGCAGTTGGCTTTGTCGGGTCTTTGGGCTCGACAGCGCTACGTGGTCGCCGGGGTCGAATGCAAGACTGAAGCTGACTTGCGCACCTTCTTGCAGGTCGAATACCTCCTCCACCGCCTCGACGGCCTCTCGCAGTCGCAGATCGACGAGCTCATGAAGAGCGACTGAGCGCGGGACGGTGGTGCGATACCTGTGCATCTGGTCTGGTGTAGTTGTGCGATACCCGTAGCATACGCTTCCTGCATCGTGCTTGAGTCGAGTTCCGCATGCTGCGAGAAGAGAAGAGCGAGGAGCAGGTATCCTCTGCTCGAGTCTCTCTCGGTGCGGACAAGGTCAGCGAGCGACTCCATGCAAGTCAAACGACATGCCCTAGTGTTACAACCACGAGTACCACACGAACACGAAGAGGCGCAACAAAACCGGGAGAACGAGAGAAGGGAAGGGAACGCCGCCCTTTGTGAGTGATTGCCGAGAAGCTGACGAGGATCTAGAAGATTGCCTCCAGACCTGTACCCCCCGCCGAATGTTCTTGCATCAGCACTGGGCTGCTGAATCGACAGCAGCTGCTGAACGGGGCGAAATAGGGACGTACAGCAGCAACATGCGAGGGCGGCAAGAATCGCCGTACAGCACCCCATGCCGTTATCCGCCGGCCGGTTCGGCTGTACATACACCTGCTGAGGCTGGCCATACGTCATTGGCTGCGCGCCCCGCACATCCTTGTCAGTCACGGGAAGCGGGATGGAAGAAGAGCAGGCGAGAACGCACGGGCTGTTGGCCGTAGTACATCGGCTGTCCCCCTGGCTGTCCATACGGCATCCCCTGTGGTGGTGCGCCATAGTAACCTCCCTGCGGTGGGCCGTACCCAGGCTGTTGAGGGTACCCGTACTGCTGCGGTCCTTTCCCGTCGCCTGGAATCGGTCCGCCGTACCCTCCGCCGCCATAGTGAGCTTGAGGAGGCTGTTGTGGGTCTGTACGAGCACAGTGACTGTCAGCAACAAGCGTGTGAGGGTGGCAAACCCTTCATCGGCATAAGGGACGCTTGGCGGGTCGGGAGAAGGAGAGACGACTGCGGCAAGGCTGGTGGAGACGCACACTGGTTGTTGTAGGACATTCGAGGCGGTCTGGCGTGCGACTGAGCCGTGCGAGGCGGGTTGAGCGAGCGAGAGTGAAGAGAAGGAGCGAGAGGGGCGGTGCAAGGTCCTTCGGTAAGCGAGTGAGGTGGCGGGAGCGCTTGAGAGGGCTGCAGAGCAGTCTGAGCGTGTCAAGAAGAGCTTCACAAGGGCTCACGCGAGCGGAGAAAGCGAAAGGAGCCGTCCAGGCGAACCTCCAGTCTGTCGACGAGTCCAACGGATGCAAGTTGACAACAGCGAAACCGCTCCTTCTACCAGTAAGACCTCCGTCTACTCCTCCTCGCTCGAGTCGGGAATGTCGTTCTCGATCTCGGCCTGGCGCAGGTCGAGCGAGGCTGTTGGCGACGAGAAGCGTCAGCTTCCTGTCCTCCAGCTCGGATTTCAAGCGAGACCTCGAACGCACCTGCAGTCCGCACCGGTGGCGCGAGCCCTTTGCGTCCAACCTGACCAGGTCCCGGCCGCCCCGCCGCACTCGCAGCAGCTGCCGCTGCCGCCCTCTGCTGCTGCTGAGCCTGCACTTGCTGCTGCCACCTCGCCTGCTGCTGCTGCACCGCCTGCGCAGCCTGGATACTCGGGTAATTTACCCTCCTTTGACCCGCACCGGCAGGAACAGCAGGCGGAACGGGCGTCCCGGTCCCGGATCGCACTTTCGCCATCTGGGCATTCACTTGCCGACTCATCTGCGCTCGTACGGCGCTCGGTACGCCGCCTGAATCGGACTCGTCAGAGTCGGAAGACGAGTCGGACGAGGACGAGTCAGAGATGTTGGGTGCGACGCGCTGGATTGACTTCGAAGCGGTCGTCGAGCGCGCGGGCGGAGTCGCCTTGCTCGATGGACCGAGGTGCACAGCTTGCACAGGCGCAGAAGCAAACGTCGCGCCAGACCGAGTCGTCCGATCCGCCTCAGCCGTCTTCTTCCCCTGTGCCGGCGGTCGATCCACACTCGCCCCGATCGGCCGCATCTGCACATCCTCATCCTCGTACTCGTCCTCCTCGTCATCGTCCGAGTCAGAACTCGCCTCGTCTGCTTCTTTCGCCTTTTGTGCGAGTTGGCGCGTGTAGGAAGCGGGGATCTTGGAGCCGTAGGAGGGGTGAGGGCGGGGAGGGACGGACGCGGGTTTGGACTGGGCTGGTCGTGGTGGAGGGTGTTCAGGCTGTGTAGATGCGACAGGGCGGGATGGTGGAGGAGCCGGAGGTCGAGAAGGTGGCTGGGCGACCGGTGGCAGAGGAGAAGGCGGTTTGGGCGGTACGGGCAGCGGCGCAGATACGGGTGCAAGGTCGGGCAGAGGCGCTGTTCCGCCTCCAGGTGTCCTCAAGTAACTAGGCACGTCCGCAACCTGCGGCTGAGACTCGCCGACGCCGACTTCCTCAAACATATCGTCATCTTCGTCTTCCGACTGAGCGGCGGAGGGAGGTAGAACGCCGTTCGCGGATGGGGACGACGCCGGGTTGAGGAGCGAGGCGAGACCAGGCGGAGGTGGAGCAGACGAGCTGGACGAGGACTTGGGTCGTTTCGCAGCTGGCTTGTCCTCGTTCTTCGCCGCAGGCTGGGCAGCGACGAAAGCGAACGGATTCGTTGCGTCGCTGTCGAAGAACGCGCGAGTGGTGGATTGGAGTTCGTGCGCAGAGGGAACGGGGGGAGTAGGCGGGGCTTTCGAGTTGGGCGTGCGGTCGGGCTTGAAGGAGATGGACGAGACGAGCGGTTCGAGTGACCAGCACTGCGAGTCCGCAATGTTCAGCACATCTTACACAGCTCCGAGACGAAGCTCTCGCGCACCTGCGCCGCCTCGTCCCAGACTAGCACGACATCCACTTCCTTTGCCTGCATCTCGGTCCCGACAAAGCGGTGCTCGACCTGTTTTCCCTTGTTCTTCCCTACGCCCTGCTTCGTCGATGGAAATGAAGCGTAAATCGTGTCTGGCTCGGCCGACTGCGAGGAAGTCGAGGTCGAGGGGACGGCAAAGACGGTCGCGGACGAGGATGGGTCGACCGAGGCGGGCTTGTTGTGGTCTGCGCGAGTCACTCAGGTCAGCCTGCAATCTCATCGTCCTTGTGAGCCCCTCGCACGCACATTTGAAGCTGTACAGTCCCTCGTTCGCCGTCGAAGCGTTCGATCCGCCGCCTGCAGACGCCCTATCCCGCCTTTGCGCCCACACGATGAACGCCAGCGACAGCTGCACGTCCTGCATCGTAATCGTCCCGTCCTGGTCGTCCACGACGCGAGCCGTCCCGTGCGAGTGCTGGCGCGAGTGTTCGGGTCACGGCGAGTGAGTGGGGGACGAGGTCGAGAGAAGCGACGATAGCGCAGGGAACACCGGTTCGAGCGGGAGTGTCGTCAAGAGCACTCTTAGGTTCAGTCTAGCGTGGCCAGCGCCGTTCCAGCGAGGTCGAGCGAGCGTGTCGTCGCGCAAGCCGCTCACGCCGTCCTTTGTCCGGTCACCTCACCATGGCTTACCAGCAGGGACCTGCGCAGGGCCAGCAGTACTACCAGCAGGGCCAGCGACCTGCTCAGCAGCAGCAGGCGTACGGGCGGGGGACGGTGCCGTCGTTCATCGCGTCGCAGGAGCAGTCGTACGCGCTCCAGCAGCAGCAGCACGCGCAGAGGGTCGCGTACGAGCAGCAGCAGCTTCAGCAGCAACAGCAGCAGGCCCAGCAGGCGCGCGACCACGCCCTCTTTGGCTCGAAACCCCCCGCCGCCCCGACCCAGTACGTCGTCTTCGACCGCAGGCCCCAGTTTCGCAAGGACACGCTCGAGAAGGCCCAGGCGGCCAAGCTCAAGCTCGAGCACTACTATCAGAAGGCGGTCCAGGAGGCCATCGAGCGCAACACGAGGTCAGTCTGCCGGTTCCGCTCGTCTCGCTCGCTCAGGCCGCTGCGCTCCGTCGTGCGGGTTCCTGTGCGGTCACTGAGTCTGCTGTGAGGGTCTGATGGGTGCTACGGAGGACTTGGGCGGCTCTGACCCGGATGGTCGACGCTCGCTGGTTTCGACTTTGCACGCGACGTGGCGCGCCTCTTCATTCGGCTGGCAAGAAGGAATGGTTCTTTCGGGTTGGCAGCGTTTGTGGAGGGAGGGAAATGCCGTTCGATGATTCAGCGAGGCGAAGTGAAGGTTGGCGGGCGATGAGGAGGACGAGACATGACGGCAAGGCGGTCAGGACGATTCCGAGGAGGGAGCAGGGAGCCAGGGCGCTATGGGAGGCCACTTCTAGGCACGCGATGGGCCTTTGGTCTTCCCTGAGGCGGGCGCGAGGCGTTGGCGCCCATGCTCAGCTCGCGAATCTCGCCTGCAACCCGACTAACGCCCTTCTCTCCGTACCCGCAGGCGAACAGACCTCGAGAAGCGCCTCGCCTCGGACCACACCCTCTCCGACGACCGCAAAGCCCGCCAGCTCGCGCAGCTCGGCCGGACAGAATCGTCGTTCCTCCGGTTGCGAAGGACGAGGCTGGGACTCGATGATTTCCGGACGGTCAAGGTCATCGGCAAGGGAGCCTTCGGAGAGGTGCGTCGGTGCTTCGCTCGATCGTGGCTGTCGAGACTGAGGTCTTTGAGGCGCTGCGCGCCGCCGACTCGCGGAGAGACACGAATGCTGACAACGCTGTCCTTGCTTTTCGCACTCCCGCCTCGCGCCGCAACAGGTCCGATTGGTGCAGAAGGTCGACACGGGCAAGATCTACGCGATGAAGAGCTTGAAAAAGGCCGAGATGTTCAAGAAGGACCAGGTGCGGCGAGGCCTTGATTGCCGAGTCGTTCCGCCGCCAGGCGAAGCTGACTCTGCTCGATCTCCGCATCAACCTCACAGCTCGCCCACGTCCGCGCCGAGCGCGACCTCCTCGCCGAGTCCAACTCGCCCTGGGTCGTCCAGCTTTACTACTCGTTCCAAGACTCGAACTACCTCTACCTCCTCATGGAGTTCTTGCCCGGAGGCGACCTCATGACCATGCTCATCAAGTACGACACCTTCTCCGAGGACGTCACGCGGTTCTACATGGCCGAGTGTGTGTTGGCGATCGAGGCGGTCCACAAGCTTGGGTTCATCCACCGGTACGTCCGCGGTAACCGTTCTCTTTGCTGCGCCCCAGCTTGGCGGCTTGCTGATCTGGCGTTTCCGCGCGCCGCACAGCGACATCAAGCCGGATAACATCCTGATCGACAAGGACGGGCACATCAAGCTGTCGGACTTTGGCCTCTCGACCGGCTTCCACAAGCAGCACGACTCGGCGTACTACCAGCGCCTGCTCGATGGCGGCGGGAACGCGAACGGCGCGCAGAACGGGCAGCAGCAGCAGGGCGCGCGCAACTCGGTCGCGCTCAACTCGATCAACCTGACCGTCAGCTCGAAGGACGCCATCGCGACGTGGAAGGCCAACAGGCGGAAGCTGGTGCGCGCGGCAGTTCGCGTTGCGAGAATCGTGGCGATTGCTGACATTGTCGTCTCCTCTGCTCCTCATCTCCGTCATCGCCCTGCTGCGCTTCGCCTTGCACTCCTCGCGCACACTCCCGCAGGCCTATTCGACCGTCGGCACGCCAGACTACATCGCGCCCGAGATCTTCCTGCAGCAAGGGTACGGCCAAGAGTGCGACTGGTGGTCCTTGGGCGCCATCATGTTCGAATGCCTCGTCGGCTACCCGCCCTTCTGCTCCGAGAACGCACACGACACGTACCGCAAGATCATCGACTGGAAGAACCAGCTCTTCTTCCCCGACGACGTCCGGCTCAGCCGCGAGGCCGAGGACATGATCCGGAGGTGGGTGCACTCGCTCGCCTGGCTGAGGGGCGCCTCGCTGACGCTCGTCGCTCACGTGCAGGATGATCACGTCGGCGGACCAGCGGCTCGGGCGCAACTCGGCGGACGAGATCAAGAACCACCCGTTCTTTGCCGGCGTCGACTGGAACACGATCCGCAACATAGAGTCGCCGTTCATCCCGCAGCTTCGGTGCGTGCGGGCGTACTGAACGCTTCAGCCTTCTCTCGCCCCGTCTCGGCCGATGTACTGATAGTCGAGGGGACCCTGCGCACAGCTCCCTCACCGACACAAGCTACTTCCCCACCGAGGACCTCAACGACGTCCCCGAGCAGCCCGAAGGCGCCGACGCGGGTTCGAGCGGCAGCAGGGAACTCGCGTTCCTCGGGTGCGCCGACGTCTCTCCATCCCTTCCGCATTCCCTCGCTGACTCGGCTCGTCTGTGCAGATACACTTTCCGACGCTACGAAGGCGCGCCGTCGCACACGCCGTGGTAGGCGTCACTTTCCTGCGTCCATGGACACTCTCGCATTCTTCGCTCTGTACATCTCTTTTCGCTCTGGCAGCGTCGCCCTCCACCGCATCACTCAGTCGTACCCCTCGCCCACTCACGCTCTCGTTCGTTTCGTTCACGTCACCCGCGTTTCCCGAGACGCTCTCGCAATGCACCTCGTCACATCGTCGCAGTCTCGATTCGGCCGAGTTGCAGAACAACTACATTCTCCCCTTCCCTTGCTCCCTGCTTCATCAAGCGCCCCTTGTCTCCTTCTTGTCGCCTCTCGTCGCCGCTTTAGAGCTTGGCCGGATCGTACATTGGGTTGCGAGGCGGGATCTTGGGAATCGGCTTGAGGTCAAACGGCATCGGGATCACGCGGAGGCCGCTGTGCGCGGTTGCGATCAGTTGAGTGATGCGTCAGGCAGGGAGAGAGGGGGAGGAGGGAAGGTGGGTCAGCGCGAAGGAAGAGAAGGGGAGGAGGACGCACGCCGCGCGAAGCTTGGCCATCCCGGTCAACCCGGTCAGCGGCGAGGTCTGGGGCGCAATATGCTTCTGTTGACGTACGAGAAGAGGCGCGAGGTGGAATGTCAGCACGCTCTCGTCGCAGGGAAATGTTGGCTTGAGAAGGTCGCCTCGACGAGGGCGTCCGACGGCGAGTGTGTATAGAGTCTGAGCGTACTGGCTTGGGAGCTCCCTGCTGGACTTTGCAGGGGTCGACGAGCTGCGAGCGTGCGGATGTCCGGGTAAGCAGGTAGGAAGCGGGTTGCTTGCACTCGGGCGACGTTGAGAGGGCAAGAGGATGTGAGCGCACCTCTTTCTTAGCGTCAAGGCTCTTGGCCGGGCCACCAAATGCTACGGAAGCAATTTAAGTCGTCAGCGGGATTGCACCCGTGGACTTTCCGCCACTCATCGTCCTCGATTTCCATCAGTCCGGACTCGCTGGGAGCGCAAACCGCGTCAAAGCGAGCAGGTCCACGCACGTTTGTCCGTGTTTGTGAGTGTCTGAGTGGGTCGTTGCGAGCGCTGCGAGTGGTTGTCGCCGAGCGAAGCGAGAGGGAGGAGGGAGAGAGGCGAGTGGCGCAGCGGGGTGGGTTTGGCGTCGACATGAGCCATCGCGAAGGGTGCGAGACCTTTCAAACGTGTAAGAAGGCGCACTTGTTGCAAGACGGAACGTCGCTCAGCGGCAGCGCGCGGAGGAAGGAGCGACGTAGCAAACGGGGCGAAGGAGACGCGAGGACGAGGACAGCTAGGCTTTGAGCGTCCGCCGCAGTGTCAGAAGGAACCATGGGACTCTTTGTAGAGAGGTAGGAGACCGAAGAACAAGAAGCAGAACGGAAGCGCTGTCTGAGGGAGCCATTCAGCGTCGCTCCGTCTCCAAAGAGGCGTTCGCGTTTGTCGTGCCATCTTTGCGGCCGGCCTCTGAGCAGTTGCATGTCGCCTAATTCTTAAGAAGCGCGGCAGACGAGCCTTCGAGTGGGACGACGGAGGAGAAGCGAGGGACCAACGAGGGACGAAGAAAACTCCGCTGGAGTCGCTGGAAGGCGGGAAGCGCGTGGATTTGCGTAAGTTCGACTGGCGTTGTCCAAAAGCTGTGCGAGACGTCGTCAGGCAGACTGCAAGCCGAAGGAAGGAGACGCCGGCGACCAGCGGAAGCGAAAGGAGAACGAGGACGACGCAGAGGAAGAGCGCCGTTGGTTCGGCGGAAGTGCTCGATCCGCGCCCGCCCGCAGAGCCGTGTCACACGCACCCGGTTATCGAGTGCGAGCCTTTCACGGGCCAACCGCGCGCGAGATTCGCAACTGGACGCTCGTCGTCGCCGGCGAGGTCGGGGACGAGTGGCCGGCAGCTGCTCGCTTCTCTTCCTCGCTCCAACACACCGCACAACGTCAAACTCGCACGCGGATCGACGTTGGACAGTCACAAGCAACAGGTCTGTCCTTGCTCGCGGGTGCCCAACCGCACTCGTTCGCTCACACGCCCTCGTCGTCCCCCGATCTCGCAGACCCTCGTCATCTTCATCTGCCTCTGCACGCCCGCACACCCGGCTACCCTCCTTGCACTCTCACACCTCACACAGCGTCGCCTAGCCAGTCGCCGCCTGCCCATACCCGCTCGCCAGCCCTCTCGAAACCGCATACCCCCACCTTCCCTCTTCACACGATGCCGACTCCCCTCGCCGACACGCCCACGCCCCCGACGCCCATGGAGACGATGGCAAACGAGCGCAAGAATCCGCCGTTTGACCTGCGCCGCATGACCTACGCCATGGGCGACGGAGAGAAGGGTGCGTCGCGGGACTTCTTCTTCGCCGCTTAGCCTTCCTACTCCGAGGCTCCCTGCTTGGAAGAAAGCATGCTGACACTCGCGTGTGCATACGCAGAGGTCAAGCTGCGCGAGAAGCACATGATGGAGATCCAGCGGAATCCGCTCTTCCGCCTCGACGACATTCACGACTTCACGAAGGACCAGCTCCGCGAGCGCACTATGGCCAAGTTGTGCGTTCAATTCCTCAGAATCGCTGCGTACGGAAGGCGGCAGGGCGAAAAGCGACGGACGGCCGGACGAGATGGTCCCGGTTCTTTCGCTCGCTTCCTCGGAACTCCCTGGACCTCATCCGCCGGCGCTGACTCTCCTCCGCGCATCTATAGCTCAACACTTGTATCGTACGTTACCAGCGAAAGAATTGATGAGTTCCAGAAGGTGCGCCTCCCTCGACCCTCATCCTTCCTCCCCTCGTACCCTCGTACCGGGCTGATCTCCATCCCCTGACAGCGAATGAACGTCGTCTCGCTCGCCGACCCAGGATTCTGGACTCGCTTCGTACGTGCGCTCCAACTGCACCCCGCAGGGAGTCGGAGCTGACCCTCCTCACCTTTCGCAGGGCGGTAGGTCGACTCCAGGCTGCTTCCTAGAGTCCGGGCGATGATGCTGACTGCTCTTTCTAAATGATAAAGTCCACTTCGGCCTCTGCGCGTCTTTTTCTTTATCGCTCTCGCAAGCTCGGAGTACTTACCAGTCGTTTTTCGGCTTCGCAGTCCTCGGCGCCATCCGGTCAGGCGCAACAGCCAACCAGATGGTGCGTCAGCTTTGCCAGATCTACTACACCGTGCCAAAATGACGGCGTTGTTCTTGCAGAGCTACTGGATGTCGAAGGGACTCCTCGGTTTGAACGGCATGATCGGCTGCTTCGGCATGGTACGCGCGCGCTCTTCCTCCCTCTAGTCCCTTTTCTACTGAGGATCGCGCTCATGCTCCTCTCCGCGCAGACGGAACTCGCGCACGGATCGAACGTCGCCGGACTCGAGACGACCGCGACTTTCGACGAGCAGACGGACGAGTTTGTGATTCACACGCCGAGCGTCTCGGCTACCAAGTGGTGGATCGGAGGTGCGTCGGCGCTGTTTGTCCCCCAGAGTGCTCAAGCGACAGTCCCGCTGACTTACGCAATGTCCAACTCGCAGGCGCCGCCCACTCCGCCACGCACTGCTCCGTCTTCGCCCAGCTGATCGTCAAAGGCCAAGTCTACGGCACAAAGACCTTCATCGTGCCCCTCCGCGACCCGAAGACGTACCAGCTCTTGCCGGGAGTCGCGATTGGAGACATTGGGAAGAAGATGGGTAGGGATGGGATCGATAATGGCTGGATGTGAGTGCGCGGTTCCTCGATATCACGCTGCTGAGCAGAGTGTGGCGGAGAAGGCGGAGCGGAGAGCGAGCTGGCAGACAATCGCGAGAACCCAGGCGACGTCGAAGCTGACCACGGTCTCCCGCGCGCACAGCCAATTCACCAATGTCCGCATTCCTCGCGCCTACATGCTCATGAAGCACACCCAAGTGACGCGTGACGGCGAAGTGCGCGAGCCGCCCCTTGCGCAGCTTACGTACGGCGCGCTCCTCCAGGGCCGGACGGCGATGGTCGCCGACGCCGCGAACGTCGCGAAGAAGGCTTTGACCATTGCGATTCGGTATGCGGCGGTCAGGAGGCAGTTCAAGGTCGGCGAGAACGAGGTGCGCCCGCTCCAACACGAACGGCGGAGTTCCTGCGCTGATGCTTCCCGACGACCGACAGCTCGAGACGCAGCTGCTCGACTACCCGATCCACCAGCGCCGCCTGTTGCCGCTCCTTTCGCAGGCCGTCGCGATGGGCTTCACCTCGTACCGCATGACCGCTCTCTTCGAGGAAATGAGCGGCCAACTCGAGTCGCTCGGGTCCGACTCGGACGAGGCCGAGACCAAGGAGGTCCTCGAGAAACTCAAGGAGACGCATGCGACGAGTGCCGGCTTGAAGGCGTTCTGCACGTGGAACGCCCTCGAGACGATCGAGAAGTGCCGTGCGTCGTTGGGTGGCCATGGATACTCGGCGTACTCGGGCTTGCCTGGTATGTACGCCGACCAAGCGGTCCAGTGTACCTGGGAGGGTGACAACGTGAGTCGTCGCGGCTTCCCCTTGAGCGCTCGTCTCGCAATTTTCCGAATTGACGCTCCCCCGCCCCTCAGACCATCCTCACGCTCCAGTCGGGCCGCTCGCTCGTCTCGTCGTACGCCGACGCCGTCAAGGGCCAGAAGCTCCCCGGCGGCACCGCCTACCTCAACGGCCTCCCGGGCGTCTTGACCGCCTCGTGCCCGTCGGACGAGGCAACTCTCGACCTCAAGACTCTCGAAGCAGGCTGGGACACCGTCTCTGCCAACGTCGTCCGACAGGCGTACGAGAAATTCGAGGGTGCGATGAAGAGTGGCAAGGGAAGGGAAGAGGCGCTCGAGTTGTGCTCGCAGGAGCGGTTCATTGCGGCACGGGTGCACACTGCCGGCTACATGTTCCGGTGCGTGGTGCCATTTCACACCTGTACTAGCTCCTCGCTTACACACCCCGACACACAGCATGTTCCACGAGGCGCTCGTCGAGCTCGCCAAGGACGAGCCAAAGGACAACGGCGTCATCAAGACGCTCGACGAGATCTGCCGCCTGTACGGATGCTGGGCGATCGAGGAGAACGCGGCACAGTTCCTCAAGTACAAGTTCTTCACCCCCAAGCAGATGGACATCATCTCGAACGAGGTCGGTCGCGGAATCTTGAGCTCTTGTCACGAGGGAGAGGCTCACCCAGCTTCGTGCGCTCTCACAGGTCACGAGCTTGTGCGCCGAGCTCCGCAAGTGCGCCGTCCTGCTCACCGACAGCTTCGGCTTCACCGACCACATCGTACGTCGTGCGAGTCTCTCATTTTCCTCGACTTCGGAGCTGACGAACCATCCCGCAGATCAACTCGCCGTTCGGACGGTACGACGGCAACGTCTACGAGTCGTACTACAACCAGGTCAAGGCGGCGAACCCGCACAGCCCTGTCGCGCCGTACTTCGAGCGCGTGATCCGGCCCTTGATCGAGCGCGAGCCGCTCGAGTTGGGCGACGACGCCGAATCGATGGAGCTCGACGACGAGATTGCCGAGATCCAGGCTGAGCGCGAGGAGGAGAAGGGCGAGGCTGAGAAGGCGGACGAGGCAGAGAAGGAGCTGAAGAAGCCTGCGGAGGAGTGACCAACCCGGGTCCCGCCCTCGCCTGTGTCTATACACCGTGTACCAGTATTCACTATTTGAGCTGCAATTGTCGACAACAAAGTATTCCATCCATGCGCGACGTTCCCTTCTCGACTTGGCCGCAGGAAAGAGCGTCACCTTTCGACCTTCGACCCGCTCGCCTCGCTTGCTTCTTTCGGTCGCTCGGCTGTCGCTACGGGTGCTACGGAGTGCTCTGACGGTCTTCAGCGAACAGGCGAGTCCCTCTGCAACGAGCGAGGGAGGGAGACATCTCGCGCACCGCCTCGGCCAACGTTCGAGTCGAGTACGCGGTGGGAACGGCTCGGGGCACCGTGGAGGAGACCGCAACGAATGTTGCATGGCTACTCGAAGCTGTCTGCATGCGCACGAGCCTGGCGGAGGTCTTGAGGGATGGTGCGGCTCCCTTGCGATGAGCCGGTGGGGAGGAGGAGAAACGAGCGATGCAGGGTTCTAGGGCGGCGCAGAGGTGGCCCAGACGTCGCCACAAGGCTCACAGGCTTACGGGAACTCGCCAGCTGACCCGCCCTGCCGTTCCACCGCAGCCGCCATGTCCTCAGCGGACTCTCCCTCGTCATCTCGACAGACTTCGCTCACACCGACGAGCGCGTCCCGTTCTTCGTCTCTACTCATCCCCGTTGACGACTCGAAGCCGACACGCCGCATCCCGCTTCGAACGAGCAGCCTCGCCTCCGACCTCGGCATCCTCCCTCCTCCCTCAGTCGCAGCTTCTCTCGCCCCGCCCTCCGACAATCCCCTTCTCTTGACCCCGCTCCGAGCGCACTACCTCAAGCGCGAACTCGTCACCCTCGAGTTTGTCAAGGAGCTCTCGCAACTCGACTCGCCCGGCGCTCTCTCCGTCCTCGGCCCGCCCTTTCTCCCAAAATCCCGCTTCGTCAATGGCGTACCGCAGCCAGCACCCGCACCGGGATCAGACGCGGCGAGGTCAGAGGAGCGCGACTGGGAATCGAACGTCGACCTGCCGTTCCTCCGCTTCGTCTTCCACCACTTTGTCCTCTCCTTCCCCTTCCTCATCGCCTGCCCGCCGACCTTCTTCTCACACAAACTTCAGCCCTTCGTCTACTCGTTCGTCTCGCGCAACATCTCGTCATCGGACGAACGCGAGTCCGTAACGAAGCGGAAACGAATTGCTGGCAAGGTCGAGAAGCACCTTGGGCTCGTCATGAGCGCCGCAATCAAGCTCACCGAGAACGATGGAAAGGAGGAAGTCGTCCGCATCGAGGACGACGGGTCGATGCATGCGGGCGCGCCGGCGACGCAGCAGTCTGGCGCCGCATTGGTGGGCATGAAGCGGCGCGGGCCTCTGACGAAACTCGAGCGCGCGGACGAAGAGTTCTCAATCAACGTCGTCTCGGTGCGGAACAGACAGACGAAGAGCAGGATGCGGATCAAGAGGCACGAAGAGTTCCTTGTCCGGACGAGGCGGAAGGGCATGTCGGACGTGTACGTCGCGCGGCGATACGGAGACTTTGTCCGCCTGGCAGAGACGGTGCGTGCGACATTGAGCGGCTCAAAGCTAACGAGACTGACGCGCTACAGCCCCGCAGCTCAAGAAGGAGTGCATCGAGGAGGACGTCAGGGGCCCACCGGCCAAGGACCGCCGCTCGACCGAAATGAAGCCGGCTGCCTCGCCCGACGCCTCGACTCAGCCCTCCCCTCGCCCCTCCTTCACGGGCGACGAGTCGCCCTCGCAGCCCCCGACGCCCGTCTTCGATCCGAACCACGTCCCCTCTCTCGCCCGCGAGCGCAACCGCCTCACCCTCCGCGCCTACCTCCGCTCGCTCCTCTCAAATCCCGTCATTGCCGCCTCCGACGCATTCCAATCCTTCCTCCTCGAGTCGCCGATCCAGCTCACGCCCGCCGAAGAACAGGACGTCCTGATCCGCGAAGAGATGGACCGGATCCGCGAGCAAGAGATGAAGTCGTTCCGTGCCGAAGTTGAGGAGCGCGTCGAGGAGCTCGAGGGGTATTTGCGCAAGTTCAGGGAGGAACTCGTCAAGCACGATGGGCTGTCGAGGGTGTTTGCGACCATCAGGCAGACGGAGAGGGTCGACGACTTGCCCGTCGAGTACAGGAAGGTGATGGAGTGGGCGCGCATCTCGTGGGTCGCACTTCCGCTCCTGCTCCCGACCGCACTGACAATCAGCCTCGCAGCCTCGCGTCGACAATCTATCAGCTCTTCCTCGGCTCGGACAACTCGTCCTCGGTCTTCGCGTCTCTCAAGCGTGTGCACGGCCTCATGCCGTACTTCATGCTCCGCGGCATCCTCAAGATCTCGAATCCGGTCGCCATGATCCGCTCTGTCCTCGACCTCTTCCTCGCGCGCCCGTTTGGCTCGACCTCGCTCGTGCAGAAAATGTTCAGCAGCGGCTTGAACGAGGAAGCGAAGGACCTGCGCGACGATGCCGAGCTCGTTGCGCGCAAGATCGGCGACGACAGGCTGTGCGAAAAGGTCCGCCAGTTTGTCGATGCGCCGCGAGACGACCAGGACGCCATGCGCCTCGATGCCGAGTCGGAGGGCATCGACCTCATGACCGTCATCCTGCGGCAGTCCGGCGCGCCCCGCCTCGACCCAAGAACGATGCAGTACCTCGCGAGATGTGCGGTGCGTTACGAAGAGTACAAGAAGGTGCGCGACGCGCTGCACGACCCCGATGAGGACGAAGGCCCGACGAACGACGAGGCGTGGTTGTACGAGGACTTGTACGTCTACAAGCGGCTCATCACCGCCGCGAGGGACAAGGAGCAGCTCATCGAGCTCATCTTTGAGGTCGGTTCGGGCAACGAGTTCTTCTACGTTCTCGTCACTGACCTCTCTCATGCTCGCAGGGAAGCACGTCGGAGCTGCTCAAGGACATTGTCACGATCTTTTACGAGCCGCTCGCGCGCGTCTACAAGGCCGCGAATATCGCCGACTCGCTCAGCGACCTCCAGGCCTTCATCAACGACCTCATAAAGACGGTCGAGTACGCGGAAGACGGTGCGTGGAGCGTCTGCTGACGAGCGGGACTCGAAAGCTGACTTCGACGCACCCGCAGCCAACTTGACCGAACCTCAGCGGACGGTCCAACTCTTCGTCGACCTCGTTGCGCGCCACGAGGACCGCTTCTACCACTTTGTCCACCAGGTGCACTCGAAGGGCGAAGGGCTGTTCGATAACCTGATGGCGTGGATCGAGCTCTTCATCAACTTTGTCCGCGACGGCCTCCCGAGCCGGGTCTCGCTCGACTTCCTCCTCCCCGTCGGCGGCAAGGAGCGCGAAGAGGTGCTGGCCGAGGTGGATGCGCTCGTCGAGTACCACCGCAAGCTCAAGCTCGCGCATCACGAGCGGATGAAGAAGCGCATGGTCAAGGGCGGCGGCGACGACCTCGACAAGAACGCCGACGCGGCGTTCGTCTCGGGCGTCATGCAGAATCTGCACATCGGCGACGTCATGGACGACGTGCACGACGTCGAGGCCGAGGACAGCGACGAGGAGGCGGCCGGTTACAGCAGCAGCGAGAGCGAGCTCGAGGCCGACGAGCAGCCGCCGCCGCCCTTGCCGAACAAGGACCCGCCTCAGGTCCCGCCTCGCCCGCCGAGGAAGAAGGACCGTGCCCCGATCGACCCGCCGAAACTCGAGCACATCCCGCGCCTCGTTCCCGTCTTTGTCGAGCTCGTGAGTCCCCGTGGGTCGCCCGTTCACTCTGCTTGGCTGACCTCTTGCTCTGGCAGGTCCGGAACGAGCTAAACGAGGCACGGAGACAGAAGGGCAAGCCACGACAGACGGCGGGGCAGCAGTGAGCGGGATAGAGGGGCGGACACTGCGTCGTGGGCTGGTTCCGGTGAAGGTCTTCCTGGCTGTACTTTCTACCCTGTACCCTTTGTCATACACGACGTTGAGGACGCAGAGGCATCCCTTCTCTTCGCCGTGGTCGCTGTCGAAGCCGGCTTTTCTCCAGCTCTCCCGTTCTCTTCCGGACCCACCGGCCTTGCCTTGCGAGTGCTCTACCAGGCTCTCCAAGCTGTCCATCCCAGACCCGCAAGACGCCGAGTGCTGGACGACACTTGGTGCCGAGCGCTGCGAAGGTCAACGTTGCCCTCGCTCGCTCGACTCGCTCTTGCTGGACTGGACAGCTCGAGGGACTGCTGGAGATGCCTGTGCAGGGCAGCGAAACACCCGGCGACCACCCCAACCCGTGGCAAGCGACCCGATCCTCCCATCAGCTCGACCACATTGTCGAGCTCCCCGAGCTGCACTCGCACGGATCGGCTGCGGTGGATGGACAGAACGGGTCGATAACGGGTGCACAGCTCGTGGACGAGCCGATCGCGAAGAAGGACGACGATGCGCTCGCAGAGGAAGGGGGCGTCTACGCCGAGGTTCGCAGCAGGTCGAGGAGCGCGAGCACGGTGTCCTGGTTCGGCAGCGTGGGCAGTCGGTTGCTCGGGAGGAAGAGCAAGAGCTTGGAGTCGAGCTTGGGCGGGTCCAGCGGCGAGGCGACTCCACGGCTGCCTGAGGGTGTCCGTCTCGCGGCAGTGAGCCCGTTCGACGACAAGTTGAACTCGCTGTTGGTGCGGATACAAGCAAAGCGACCGCGGCTAGGCCGCGCACTCGTCTGGGTCAGGGGTCCGTCGCCGCCGCACATCGAGACCATCCTCCCGCCGTTCCCCCTCCCTTACTTCGGTCCTCGCCTCGCCCGCTTCGAACGGTGGTGCACGGCTCGACTCATGCCGTTACAGCGACGGAGACACCTCACGACACCCCTCTTCCTCCTTGCCTGGATCCTCGCTTTCGCCTTCCTCGTCCGCGCATCCTTCTTCACCTCGTCGACCAACTTTGGCGCACCGACCTGGGTCGACGCCACCTCGTCCTTCTGGTCCGCCAACGATGGCTGCGGCATCAACGGCACGACCTGCCAGCCCTTTACGAACGACAGCTTCATCTTTCGCTGTCCGTCGCAAGTCCTCTCGACCCAGCTGCTCAACAATCGCGCAGTCGGAGACGACCTCGTCATCTACCAGCCACTCGTTGTCGGTGGAATGGACTCGCAGTCGACTTACCGCGCCGACAGCTGGATCTGCGCCGCAGCGATCCACCACGGCTTGTTCGACGAACGGCGAGGCGGGTGCGGTGAGGTCCAGATGGTCGGCGAGTTTACGGGCTACGTCGGCGGCAAGCGCAACGGCGTCGACAGCATTGCGTTCGAGTCGACCTTCCCGAGCAGCTACCGCTTTGTCGGGGGTGTCAGCCAGAACGGGTGCCGGGACTTGCGCGACGACATTGTCGGCTTCGACGTCGCCATGACCTTCATCCTCTCCTTCTTCATTAGGTACGGGCACCCGATAACATTCTGATGGACTGGGCTGACGATGCGACCACATGCAGACCGGGACCGCAAGCGTTTTTCTGGATTCTGCTCTGCATCGGCGCCTGGCATGTCATCCTTGTCAGCGATCCGTCCGCCATGCCGCGTGCGTACAATACATCGCTTGTTCGAGCTCTCGCTGACACAGCCAGTACCCACAGCCAATCTCGAGACGGCCTTCAAGAACTTCCTCCCAGTCCTCTTCGTCGGCGAGTCGTTCTGGCGGCACGCTTGGCGCTGGGTCGCACCGGCTTTCGAGAACTCAGGCTTCGTCCTGGAGCGAACGGTGTGGTACTTGGCGGGCTTCTGGGTCGGGCTGCTCATCAACGTGAGTCCGGCCTCTCGACAACCTTCGTCTCACCCGCTGACCGAGTTCGCCCGCAGGTCTCGCTCAACTGGATCCCCATCGACCGCCTGACGCCGCACGACATTAACCAGCAGCCGGGCGGACTCGTCGCAGTCATTGTCCTTGTGATTTTCATCCTCCTCGTCGTCGTGAACCAGCTGCGCGTCATCCGGCGGACCGGCTGGTTCTTCTTCTACCTCCGCTGGTACATCGTCGGCGGCGTCGTCGTCGGCATCCTCTCCGCCCTGCCCGGTCTCGAGTTCCGCCTGCACCACTACATCGCCGCCATCGTCCTCATGCCCGGCTCGGCGTTTGTCACCCGCCCGTCCGCCATCTTCCAGGGCTTCCTTCTCGGGATGTTCCTCGACGGCGCGATGCGGTGGGGCATGGACTCGATCCTCCAGACACCGGCTTCGCTCGTCGGAGACGGAACGACAGGCAGCCCGCTTCCCGATTTCCTCACCAACGCGACCAACTTTGCGGCTGCCGTCTCGAACGGCTACATCCAGTGGTCGAGCATTCCCGAAGACGTTGCGGGGAAGGGGTACGACGGGTTCGCGTTGCTTGTCGACGATGTCTTGCGGCAGACGGGTGCGGCGACGAACTACTCCCTCGCCGCGCTCGATGCGAACGTTGTACACTACTTCCGGTGCATTCTGCGTCTCTGCTTCCTGGTAGAGCGCGCGTGCTGACCCGCTCGCACTCGCAGCCTCGCGTACCAGCAAGGCGGCACCTCGGGCGACTTTACAAAAGCTGCGACGGCTTTCCTGTCGAACAGCACCTGGATCGACCCCGCTTCCGGCCCATCCTAGACGCCTTGTATCTACTTTCGAATCTGTCGGATCTCTTGTTGTTGCGCCGTTCGCTCGTACGGAACTTTGTATCCACTCTCCTGTCTCTCTCGCCCGTAGACACTCCCTCTTTTGGTCCGCGTACAGCTTAACCATGCGAGTAGATCGCCTTGGAACGACCTTCTCTCTGTGCGTGGCTTGCGAGACTTTACCAGTCCACTTGCCCCTTCACGAGGACCTCTTCCTCCTCGACATCTCGCTTCTCCCGCTTGACTCCCTCGTTCTGCTTCCGGCAATGCCGCTCCCTCCTTCAGCCTACTCTGCCTTCCCGGTTGAGCGAACAGCAGCTCCGCCGGACGCGTGGGACGACTGGGAAGAGGTGCGTTTCGCTCGCCAGCTGATGAAGTTGGCGAACCGCGGCAACGGCTGACGGTCTCAGTTCGATGCGCAGGACTACTCGAGGGACGAACGGCCTACTACGGAGCAGGCGAAAAACGCACGGCTGTGGCAGAACGCGTGAGTTTGGCGCCGGTTGTCCTCGTTCGGCTCTTCGAAGGGCTGACACTCGCCCTCCTGATCCTGCAGCAACGTCGTCAAGCCGACATACTCTATCCTACCCTCGTCCTCGGCCCGCGCCCCTCCTTCCGCCGCACTAGACGCCTCCACCGCCAACGGTCCTCCGCAACTGAAGATCCTCAAGCGCCCTTCTCCCGCACCCAACGCTTCCGCCTCTTCTTCGAGCCGGACATCGAGTAGTGAAGGGCGTGCGAGGCAGGAAAAGTCGCTGGCGGAGAGGGAGAAGGAGTATGCGGAGGCGAGGAGACGGATCTTGGGCGAGGAGGCGGTTGCGGTGAAGTCCTCGTCGTCGCCGTCGAGGAGGAATGGGTCGGCGAAGGGTGTGCGAGAAGGGATGGAGAAGCTGTCGTTGCAGGGTGGGTCGAAACGGGATTCGTCGCCTGGGGAGACTGCTAGTCGCCCGACCTCGTCCAAGTCCGCTTCGCCCGCCAACACCAGCCGCCGAGAACGTCTCTCAAGCACCTCATCTGCCTCGACACCTCGTAATCTGTCTCAGTCGTCTCGCCCGCCCTTGACAAACGGAGCATCTGCCGTACGTGCACCGAAGGGACCGAGCGAACGTGGGTTTGGATTTACAGGAGCCGCCGAGGCGAAGGGCGAGAAGTCGAGGCGGCAGCATGAGGTGCGGTGAGGCGCCGGGACCTAGAGGATGGCCTTGAGCAGACTCGGGTTCGTTGCGTCGCTTTCAGTCTTGTCGCGCTCGCATCGTTGACTCCCGGTCGTGTGCGCAGCCCAACACCTCGCATCCGACATGCACAGAGTCGTCACAGCAGCAAAACGCCGCCTCCACAGGTGTCATTGCCGCCACAGCGGACGATTTCTGCGCCTACACCGCTAGCGTCCGCCCGCTACGCAGATCTCTCGCACCGGAGATGAGCACATCGTAGACAAGCCGGCGCATGCCAAAGATGCGAACGACGCTATGCAAAACAGTGCAGAACGCATCTAGTTGAGGAGCCAGTCTACAAAGTCCCGCTCCGGCAGCTTCCAGTCCGCGAGACCTGCTCCGACGAAAGCGTTCCGGCCGGATGACGACATGGCGTTCGTGCCGCCGTTCGCTCCGCGGGTCGGACTGCGCGAAGGACTCGATTCGGCCGAGGTGTAGCCGTCCAGCGACGGTCCTGGCAGGCTGCGGCGACCGCGAGCTCGGTCTACAGGTCGCGTCGGCGTCGCCAGCGATGCGGGCGAGAGTGGGGAGAAAGCCTGGCGGGGAGGAACAGCGGCGAGAGGCGTGGCGGCACCGGCGGGAGACGCGACGGGGACGAAGAGTGCAAAGGCAGGAGACGGGGTACTGACGCCAGAGCGAGACGAGGGGGTGGCAGGAGCAACGGGCGCGGTGGACAGGTCGGCGAAGGAGGAGGCGAGCGAGTCGACGCCGCCGTTGCGCGCCGCGTCATCCACCTCGTACTCGCTGTCCTCGCTTCGCTCCAAGCCGTCGTCGCTGTCCGTAGCGGACGAGTAGACCGCCTCGGCCTCGTCGTCCGTGCCGCCCGTGATGGGCTGTCCAGTTGAGACCGTCTCCCACTCGTCGCCGACACGCTCGCCCAGGACGCTTCCCGCATCCGTATCCGTCTCTTCGCCCGCCGTGAACTCCTCGATCTCCGTCGTCGTCCCGCCCGCAGCGCTCCAGTCGGTCCCCGGCGGCGTGTCCCACGCTCCTGCTTCGCCGTGAGCTGCTGCGACTGGTACGCCGCGAGGCCGGACAAGCTGAGGGCGCAAGATGTGCGTGACTCGGACGTCAGGCTCGAGCGGGTTGAGCGGGCGGGAGAAGGAGGTGAGGTTGTAGTACCGTGCGAGCGAGTGGAGGAGGAAGCGGTGATGCGAAGAAGGGGCGAGCCAGATGAGGGTGTGAGGTTGGCGGGACAACTCGGTGAGGGTGGGCACGTCGGGAAGATCGGCGACGGTCGTGCGCGTGGGCAGGTCCGGGAGCAAGTCGAGTGTGCCGGGAGTAGGCAGGGTAAAGTCTTCGAGCGCAGTCGGGTCGAGGAGCTTGCCGCGGTGGATGGTCTGGATAAGCGAGTTGCCAACGAGGGGCATCGAGTCGTGATAGAAGCCCTCGGGGATGCGTCCGCTCAGCATGAGCCAGTCCTTCAACTCGCGCTCCATGATGTCGAGGACCTCTTCTGTCCGTCCGCCCTGTCCTCGTTGAGCGCGAGGCCCGACTGCCAGTCGCAAGTTACGCCGCAGTCCGCGCAGAGACATCGAGAACTGCCCATAGTCGGCGTTGCTGGCGAGAGAGGCAGCTGAAGGAGTCGACGCGGGAGAAGACGAGACGTACGTCGAGCGGGAGAAGTGGGCGGGCGGGGGTGTAAACGTTGTCGAGAGATCCTTCATGTACGGTCCAGGGCTGAAATCGGCGCGAGTAGGGCGATGGAGGTGAGGATTTCCGGCGAGTTGGGCTGGAGGGAGCGTTCGAGTGAGCGCAGGAGTCTCGCCGGGCGTACAGCCTCATCTGGCAGGCACAACCGTGTACTCACCGTTCTCCCACCGCCTTCGTCGCCTCTTCCCGCCCGGCGCCGTCCCTCCTCCCTTCCTCGGAACCGGGTCTGCGCCCTCCCTCGCCGTCCGCTCCTTCTTCTGCAGCGCTGAGCCGCCCTTGCTCTCCTGCAAGCGCAGGATAGCCGGTATGCGCAGCGGGACAGCCCCATTGACTCGTTCAGCGGTCGTCGATGACGGCGAGGCGGTCAAAGTGGCGGAGTGTGCGAGACGCTGGCGGGACGGCTCGAGGGGGACAGCGGGCGCGACGACGGGCTCTGCAGCGAGCTCTGCGGCAGCTTGGGCGTGCAGTGAGTCCGCCATGGCGTCGAAGAGAGCGAGAGGAGCGCAAAGTCAAGAGGCAAGCGGCGAAGAGTGCGAGTCGACAGCATCTCTCTCCGCTGGACGTGAAGTTGACTGTCTATCTTCAGTGCATGGGCGCAAAGGACGAGCTAAGGACAACAAGTGCGAAAAGCGAGAGAACGACGATGGACGACGAGGGACGGAGAGAGGCTGCGATGAGGGGAATGCCGGAAAACGATGTACGCGGTGAAGGCGATAGGTATCTAGGCGAGTGCGAGTCGTATGGAATGCTGAGAACGAGGCCGGGAGCGGGATAGAGTAAGGCGAAGGCGCAGGGGGGTTTACGACTCTTCGGTCGAGTCTTCGTCGTGGGCGTGGCAGACCGGCTCCTCCTGCGCGAAGAGCATCTTCTTCGACGTGTCGTAGACGGCGTCTGTGCACGGGGGAGTGGGTCAGCCAGGGTCAAGCCTGTTGAGCCAGATCGAGGCTCACATGAAATGGCGACGGCGGGGACGACCTTGACGAGCGTCGGCGTGAGGCCTGCGGCAGCGGCGCTCGTTCAGTGATCTCCTATACATGTAAAGACGTCGCAGACGCACCTTTGTAGAAGCCTCGCCATCCCTCGCGCTGGTAGCATTTGAAGGCGGCGTCGCGGATGCCCGTGTAGGTCTGCGGGTGTGCGGGTGTGCCTTGCGCTTGCAGGCGTGTGCGGACGAGATTGCTGCGAGGGGAGCAGGCCAGAGGTTAGCGGGAAAGCATGCGAATCGTGGAAAGAAGGTCCATGACGAACAGAGGGTAGACGCCTGCGCAGGGGAGGATCGTCAGCCAGCAAGCTCTTCAGACTCAAACGTTTGACGAGACGCACTGGATGCACCGACGCCGCCGCTGATTGCGCCGAAAGTCAGGCTGCCAGCGATTCCAGGCTCCTCGCCCGCCCACTTGGTGTACGCGAGCTTGATGCCCTCGAACGTCGACATGTCGATGGCCGAGTACGGGAAGACGCCGATGAGGCCCGCTGGCAGGCCGCGGAAGAAGAAGCGGAAGCCGCCTGACCGCCACATGTCGCGCGCCGTCTGCGAGATGAGCGCGTTGCCCTTCTTGCAGCCGCCGCTCGACGACATGACGCGCGTCTTGAGCGACTCGATCGGATAGATGCCTGCGGGGGCGGCCTACGTGAGCGAGAGCACAGTTCGAAGCAAATGGCGCACTCACAGAACTGGCTGATGACGCCGCCGATTCCTCCCGCGACGAATCGGCTCGAGTTCGAGATGAGCGTCTGGTCGGGCACCTTGTCCCAGTACTGCGCAAAGATGCGCTTCGCCGACTCGTACGAGAGGAACTTGATGGCCGATTCCTGCGAGTAACGCCAGGTCAGCTTGAATGCGGCGGTTTGGGTCTGTCCCGCAACGTACGGGAAAGATCTTGATGATGTTCAGCCCGTTGCCCGTCCAGAACGCCTTGATGCCACCGCCTTGAGCGTAGACTGTGCGAATGGCGTTGACCAGCGTGCCGGCGCCAGGACGTGGTGGTTTGCCCGACTTGGCGAGTTGGGCGGCGGGATCGGGTTTGGGCGGCGCAGAGGCGGGTGAGGTGATCAGGTAGACTTTCAGGCGGTCGAACGGGGCGGTCGCTGTCCGAGACACTGCGAGCGAGGGGTCGGGTGAGCGAGAGATATGAGGGCGCGAGCGCGGGAACGCACCTGCTCCAGCGAGTCCTCCCGCAAGCAGAAACTTGCCCGCGCCGGCAAACATGTCGTGCGTCGGCTCGTGCTCCTCCTCTTCCTCCTCTTCCCGCACCGTCGCAACCTGCGCCTGCTCAACCTTTGTCGCCGGCTTGACCTCCTCGCGCTCCTTGTCCGTCACGATCACGCCGCTCTCCTCAAAGTCGAGCGAGGTCGACGACGCAGGTGCCTTGGCGACCGCTTCGGCATTCGCGCGCGCCTTGCCCTTGTTCCGCCGCTCAGCCCGCAACCGCTCGCACGCCGCGACGTACTTCTGCTCGTCATTGACCGGCTCGAGCTTGTGCAGGTTCGTCGCGTCGGCTAGTCGTTGCGCGGCTTCGCGATCGTCGGGGCGTGTTCGAGTCGACGACGCGGACGAGCCTGTGGACTTGCCGAGGAGCTTGTTCCACCCCGACTTGCCTCGTCCGATCACGACTGTCACTTTGCGGAAGCGCAGGGAAGACGAGGTCAGTTGGGAGGGAGTGCTGGTGTAGCGTCTAGGCGGACTCACCATCGCCATCCTGCGTCAGCCGGCTCATCGAAGGCCGCTCTAATCGCTTCGCCTGCCAATACCGCCAGATCTCCTTCATCGACGTTTGGCGAGGCAGTAGCTGCACGGAACGGGTCAGCAGGTCTTTGGCGTCAGGAGGAGCACGCGCACGCACCAGGAGAAAGTCCCTCCACTCGTCGAAACTGATCGCGCCGTCCCCATTCCGGTCGACCGTCCTCACAAACTCGTCTATCGCGCCGTCCCGCACGTCGATCCCCGCCCGGCGACACGCCTCGCGCACCTCGTCTTTCCGCAGCCGCATGTCGCCGTCGTGGTCGAGCTCGACGAACGCGCGCCACAACTCGCGCTCCTTCTCCTCCGCGTACTGCTCGAACGCCTTCCATCGCACGGCGGCAAGGGCAGCGGTTCGTTGGCGCTCGTTGTCGGACGAGGGAGGTGGCGCGGTCGAGGAAGAGGGAGTGGGTGAAGGAGGAACCGACGCAGCGACCGAGGCGCCGCATTTCCGCCACAACTCGCGCGCGTAGGCTTTCCGATCTTGTGCGCAGCGTGTCGCTTCGTCTTCTGTCGGTGGCGGGGCTTCGTCGGGTGTCGGAGGGAGAGGCGAGGTGGTCGAGGGTGGAGAAGGGGGAGGGAGCGACTCGAACAGGGACCGCAGGCGCGTCATCCGCCGGGCTGGGCCCTCCGAGTCGCGAAACTCGCTCAATGTGCTTGGTTCGGGCGAGGCGTCTATTCGGTTGACGGTGTTCGAGGAGGAGTGGGGATGTCGAAGCGAGACTCGGGGATCATCGGCGGGAGGCGGGGCGGAGAACGGAGAGGACGTCGTCGCGGTGAAGAGCTCGTGTTTGGACGGCACGGGGTCGAGGTCGAGGGACGGCGGGACGGGATAGTCGGGGAGCGGGGGAGGAGGAGGAGGCGCATCTGCCTCGTCGGGCGGCGTCGTCTGCCGGGGGAGTCTGGGTTAGCTCTGCAGCTTGTGATAGAGTCTGTGCATGCTCACCATTGGCTACAACGCCGTCTCGCGGCAGGCGAGCGAGTCTGGTCGCGTGCGGGCGAACGGGGCTGTCCAGCGGCGAACCAACGCAAGGCGGGTTAGCGGATTCGTTCTGATAGCGTCTTGAGAGTGCAGCATCCTGTCTGTCTCTGCCAGCAGCCCCCAAGCGAGCCCCGTCGCGTTCCGTCGACTCGTTCGAGCGCGATCATCCCGACAAGTGCGCCGTCACTCCCTCCAACCCGCTCGTTCGCGGGTCCAGTCTGTCCCCTGTAGTCTTCCAGCGCGTCCCACGGCCACAGCACTCACGTTCGTTGCGCGTGGTGAGCGGATCCAGCTTGGTGACGCCTCGTTCGCTCAAGAGGGCGTTTGCGGGATCCACACGTCGTCGGGAGGCGATTCAAAGGGGCGAGTCGGTAGAATGAAAGGTTGCGAGTCAGATGGCGAGGTCAGCGAGGCCGTCAGAGCGGTGTGCAGTGAGCGAGCCGTCAGCGAATGGGCGAAAGCTCGAAGGCACGGCGAGGCTTGGGACAGGTTCTACAACTCGCGCTCGCTCTGGCTGGACTGGCGTGGCTCTGCTGGACTCTCATTGTGCTGTCTGAGCTGGACTGACCGGCGAAACTCCCACTCGCTGCCGTCGTCCCGTCGTTCGCACACCTCGACTCGCCCCGCATCCTTCGGTTTGCCCTCACAGCAGCACGGTGAGCTGGCCGTGCCCACCGGAATGGAGTCTGCATGAACTTGGGCAGTCAGGCCAAATCGGGCGGTCTCAGGTGCGGTGGGAATCGCGAGCGGGACCTTCGACGTCGGCACATAATGCGAGGATGCGGCGTTCGATGCGGGCGTCTGTGCGGGTCCGAAGCGGAGAAACCGGCTCTTTGAAACCTCGGGAAGCTCCTGCCGGCGTTACAGGTGGCGCGAAGCGATGGGGCCGGCTCGACAGCTCCTGACCTCCCTCTCCAACGCGGAACTGACACCCTTGTCCGTGCAACGCCAGCAGATGATTCTGCAATCACGCCTTGCGACTCCTTCGGTTCGCGCTGTGGCGCCCTTCCTCTCCGCCCGACCAGCACGGCAACTCGCACCACCCGCCTGCCTCCTCGCATCCCGCAACTTCTCCCTCTCCTCGTCAACTCCGCCGCCCGTCGAGTCTGCTCCGTCCCCTTCAACACCAGACCTTTCATCTCCCGCAAAGCCCGTCTTGAGCGACTTGTTCGCGCCCGACTCGCTTCCCGACCCGACGTTCTTCGAACCGCTCTCGGACGCCCTCCTCTCGATCCCCTCGTCCCTCTCGCTCTCTTACCTCGCCTTCATCCCCATCGCCACCATCCTCTACCGCGCCGCCCTCACTCTCCCCTTCAATGTCTGGCAGCGGCGGCGGATCGCGAGGTTTGCGAACGATGTTCTGCCGCTCGTCAAGAAGGAGCAGGCGCGGATCGCACTCGAGACGCGGTCAGACTGTCGGAGGGCGGGGAAGAGCTACGAGGAGTACTTGAAGGAGTTTCAGAAGCGGGTGCGTCGCACGTCTCCAGATCGTCTCCGCGTCAGCTGACCCACGCTCTCTCCGCAGGCGAAGAAGGAGGCGTACGCGATTGCACGGCGACACAACTGCTCGCCTCGCCTGACCGTCCTCGTCCCGCCGCTCGTCCACATGCCCATCCTCATCACCGCGACCCTCGTCCTCCGCGACGCCTGCGACCGTGCCCAGTCCCTCCTCGCCGTCACGCCCGCCTCCCTCCCCTCGCTTCTCGACTTGGCGCCAGGCTCGACGCTGACCACGACGGCGCTGTCGAACCTGCACGACCTCGCCTCGACCTCGTTCCTCTGGGTCCCTTCGCTCGTCCTCCCCGACGTCACGATGTACCTCCCGCTCGGCGTTGGCCTCCTCATGCTCCTCAACATCGAAGTGTCGAGCCAGATCCGGCGGCAAACGCAAGAGGCGCGCGAGGCGATCGAGAACCCGCTCGACGCGATGGTCGCGCAGGCTGGGAAGCCCGTCAGTGCGGCGGAACGGAGGAGGATGGTCGCGCGAGGAGCGAGGGATGGCAAACCGATGGTCGTGCGGGGAATGGCGACTGTACCGTCTCGACCCGCACCGCCACCGCCGCCGCCGCCGCCTCAGGCCGTCGAGCGGAAGAAGCCGGACACGAACAAGATCATCTCGAATGCGCTGCGCTTGGCCAGTCTCGCGTTCATTACCATCGCAGGGATGGCTCCAGCGGTGCGTTCCGCGTCTCCTTCGTCTCCTATCCGCTCTGGTCTCTCCCTCTTCGAAGCTCTCGCTCGCTCGGCGGGGCACTCAGGAACCGCAGCACTGACCCACTCGCTCTGCACACAGGCCGTCTGCATCTACTGGATGACCTCGAACGCGTTCACGCTTGTCCAGAACGCCGTCTTCCGCTGGATCGACCGGGACGAGGAGAAGAAGCGGCGGATGAAGCGGATCATGAGCGGCGAGGCGGTTGGGGTGTAGCGGGGCTATGTTTCTGGGAAACGACGCGTTAACAGTAGTACGTGTTGCAATGAGGGTACAGATGAAGAGAGTCAGCCTCAGGCTCGGAGCGCCCACGCCCATTCCTCGAGGGTTAGGGTTAGGGTTAGGGTTAG